CCCAGCTCTCCCAGAGTGAGAGAGGCTCCAGCATCTCTGGTGCCTCCTCTGGACTCTCTCCAGCAGCTCCAAGTTCTTCCCATGCTGAGACCCCGGATCTGGAGGCAGCTCTGCAGGTGAGCTCTCACCTGAGCGGGGCAGAGGGCACACTGTCACCAGTTGCTGTCCCCTGCCTGTCCCCTGGCTCCGTCTGGTCCCGGCTCCTGTCCCTGGCGTTGCTGCTCTGTCTCAGTCTCGGGCAGACACCTCAGAACGTGTTTGGCTGCACCATCTGCCTCCTCACGCCCGGGTGCCTTCCTGGCCTCCTCGGTGCTTAACAGAAATAGGTTTTAATTAAAAGCTCGTTATCAACTTGTCGTGTGGCATTAGTAAATAAAAACAACTTTTACGGCCCAGCCCTGTGACTCAGTAAGTGGCAATTGAAAATATTGGACATCACTTTAGTTAAAACAAAATTGATGAATATTACGTTTTTTGATCCCCTGTTTACTCCAAATGGGCTTTAAATCTAAATAAATGGTTGTCTGTGGCACTGTGGTGATCATTCAGGTCCAGAAGGAGAAATGCGTGTGGTCTGCAGTCTCAAAATCATCTCCATTTCAGTTGTAAACTGTTGTGGCTGGGTGGTTTGGGCATCTCCTGTGGGATGGGGGTTTGGAATAGCTGCAGCCTGCATCCATTTCCTCATTCCCAGGGGGAGGGTTAGTGCAGGGATGCTCTGCTCAGGCCCAGCTCTCTCCCTTCCGCCCTCTCCATCCCTGTTCCACTGAAGAGGTGTTGTGTTCTCTCATTAAAATTTGATTCTAAACAGGAATAACTTCTCTCTCAGCACTTTTTCCTGGGGCTTGGTCCCCTTTTCCCAGCAGTCCTTTGGCTGTTGTGCCACAGCAGGGGCTCTTGCCTCTGTTTACATCCCCAGCATAGAGCTAGCGCCTAATAAAATTATCTGCAAAGCAAAAAGCCATTTTCTGTGTTATTTACGGGTAAATTGGTGCAGTAAAATACTCTGTAAATGTGAGTCATTTCTGCAAGGTCGTGCCTTAACCTCATCCCATGGGTGGGGTGTGCAGAGGCTGCTGCTCTGGCTTTCCCTGGGAAGCAGCTGAGTCTTGGTGTCCTCTGCTCACTTTTTTGTGCCCTTATTGCCCACCCTGGTCCCAGGAAGAGCTGAAGCTCCAGGGGTTTGTGTTGGTGATGATGAGGAGGTGAGATCTTCATCTGTGCCTCCTGAGCAGAGCCAGGTTCTGTCCCCTGGAGTTTGGACACCTCCCTGTTGTCCCAGGAGAGCCTTTTGTGTGAGGAACCTAAATATTAAATTAAACCCATCCCTTTTGACTCCCCTTTACCACATTTGACATTGTTGGAAGAAAAGCATCAGCTTGACAATGTTTTGGGAATCTCATTTCTGTGTAGACCCCTCTCCATGCCGGATGGTTGCACGCCTTTGTCCCTTGCTGCCCATTTTTTAGAACTGTGGAATATCCTGGGCAGGAAGGGACCCACAGGGATCATCCCTGGCAGTGCTGCCCAAAGGCTCCTGGAGCTCTGGCAGCCTCGGGGCCGTGCCCATTCCCTGGGCAGCCTGGGCAGTGCCAGCACCCTCTGGGGGAAGAACCTTGCCCTGAGCTCCACCCAAACCTCCCAGCACTGCTCCGTTCCCTGGCTTGCCCTCCCTCCTTGTCACCCCTGATGAGAGGACCAGACAAGCCTTCTGCTCAGTTTTGGAGCTGCTTTACCGAGTGGGGAGCCGAGGAGCAGTTGTGAAACTTGACAGAGAGGTTGTGCTCCGAAATAAATCGCGCAGTTGCCTGCGAGTTGGAAATGACTCCCGGTGCAGGTTAATAAATAATGCAAACCCTGTTAATAGATGCCAAATGCGCCGTCTCCGCCAGAGAAAAAGATGATGCCAATAATCTGGGCTGGAAATACTCGGTTCTAGCCATTGGCTGGAGAGTTTGCAGTGTTTAGTGCTGTTAATTTCAATGCTTTGCTGATAGATTGTAACCGCTCTGTACTTAGTAAAGAACACAAACAGCTCGGCGGAGTAACAGCCTGTTTATAACACTCCTCATTCCCGTGTCCCTTCTGCGGCTCCTGAATCCCTGCAGCCACCCGTGCTGTGATCCTGCTAATGGGAAAGGAGCTGCAAATGTCAGAGGTGCTGCCTGCAGCACGGGGAGGCTGCTGGAGTGACGCATCCCTCTCTGTCCTGATGGTCACATTGAGGTTATCGTGATGTAGCTTTTTGCTGGGAGATGGAGCTTTGTGACAGCATCGTGCCAGCCACCCCAGCATACGGCTGAGAAGGTTTTTTTCTGCTCTGAGCTCCTTAGTTTTATTTTCAGGAGCTCGGACTGGCTTGTAAAATCATCTTTGTGCTTCAGGTGTCACTTGAGTGCCGTGCAGGGAATGGTGTGATGGACACGGTGTGGATGGGAATGGCCAGCCTGTCCTGGCTGTCCCCCAGGCTCTCTGGACAGCAGCTCTGTCCATCCCCTCATGCTCTGGAGGAGTGTTTTATCTAGTAGTTTACAACCACAGAATGTGGCAGTTAATGACACAGAGCCTGTAAAGCATGGCTGAGGAGGGCTGAGGTCCTGCATGTCTGTAAAGCAGTTGGAGTTCAGCTGTCAAAAGATGCCACTTGAATGCAGATGGTTATTTTAAGTACCGAGGTGTGGAGGGAAATCATGTCTGTTGGAATAAAGGTGGCTGCTGATCATTGATATATTTAATGAAGGTAATTCAGCACAGTTGGGGAGGATATGTGCTCTGTTATGGCTGGAGTCTTGAGCATTGTGCAAGAATGTGAAATGTCTATTCCTGCCACCACAGAAGCGCTGGTGACAAAGCGCTGGTGTAAAATGCAGCAGCAGAAGCCTCACTTAAAATACAGTCCCTTAAAGAGGGGCTCGTAAAAAAAGGAGAGAGAGCTTTTAATGCAGGCAGATAGTGATAGGGGAAGGGGGAATGGTTTTAAGCTAAAAGGGGAGAGGTTTAGGTTAGGTTGGGAAGAAATCCAGCTGTGAGGCCCTGGCACAGGGTGCCCAGAGAAGCTGTGGCTGCTCCTGGATCCCTGAAGTGCCCAAGGCCAGGCTGGACAGGGCTGGGAGCAGCCTGGGACAGTGGAAAGTGTCTCTGCCATGGCAGGGGTGGCACTGGGTGCTTTTTAAGGTCTCTTCCCACCCAAACCATTCCAAAGGGGTTCAGAACCCTTTGGATGGTTGATGGTTCAAAATCCATCCCATCACCAAGTCAAAACTGCACAAAGCTCCTGCTTTAATCCCCAGTGCTGCTCTTCACAACAAATTGGTGGTTTGTGTTTTGAGAGGAAACCTTTGGGTCCTGTCAGCTCTTGGGCACAGTTTGGGTACCTGAGGTGGTTCAGGGAGGAGTCACAGCCAGTGGAAATTCCAAGTTTAACTCACTGATCCCGTGGGATGTGGAGCCACGTCCTGCTGCCACCAGCAGCCTGTCCTGGGAAGGTTTGGTGCAGGCACTGCTGTGCTGAGACTGAGATATGGTCTTAGAGAAGGAAAAACAGCCCATCATGCTTTATACAAAGCAGTTTAGTGAAGAAATAGCCTTCTGCTGGCAGCCTGCTTTTATGTGCCTGCAGAAATGGTACCAAATAGCTCTTTTAATGGGCCTCACTCTGTTTTGTCTGAGCCCTCGAATTAACCTCCCACTTAAAATCATAGTCAGGAAAAGATCTTCTGCAGTCTGAGCCATCCTGTGCCGAGCTGGAGCCCATCCCGGGGGCTGGAGGATAGCGAAATGTGTGAAATTAGGGGGGCTATAATTCCAGCACTGCCAAACTTGCTGCTCCTGGCGTTTTGACCCCGAGGTGTTGACAGCGCCCGATGCGAACGGCGGCGAGCGCTGCGCTCCGGGGGCGGTGTTTGGCGGGAGGGTGGCGGTGCCTTTGTCCTATTCCTGTCCTATTCCGGGACTGTCAGCGCCGTGTCTGTGCTCCCCGCGAGGGGGAGAGCAGTGACGGAGGCATCGCTTGAGCTGGGCCCGCCTGTGCCCACAAGGCGGCAGTGGGTGACAGCGGGAGCGGCCCCGATGATATCGCTGTGTGCAGGTGGCACCAGGATTGAGTTGTAGTGACAGGAGAGTGCGCGGGATCTGTTTGCCCAAGGGCTTCGGAGTAATGGCCATATGTCTCGGTCCAGCAATTGTTTTCAGCGTGCAGATGGAAGACCAAAGTGGCTTTGGCATATTAGATTCACGTGGTTTATGTCCCTCTTCACCTCTGTGCCTCCCAACACCTCCCAGTTTTATGAGCAAACTTCAGGAGCATCATGGATGCGGCTGCAGGATTGCTCCAAGGACATGGTCCTTGAGCAACCAATTTTCTCTGCTCCTTGGCTGCTTCTGTCACCAACATTTTCAGCAGAAAGTGCAGTTTAACTCTATCAAAATGTGCTCCCAGAGAACTGCTGACTTCAGTGGTAAGGATGGGGATTTTGGAGCTCTTTTTTCCCTTCTATCCGTGCAGGGTCGCTGGCTCTGGTTGCTCCGTGCTGGGATTGTCACTGCTGATTTTGTGGCTCCTCTCTCTGACCCCCTGGTGCTGATGCTGGTGCTTGTGCAATCACATTAAAGCCACCAAGGGGCAGCTCAAAGGGATTTTTATTCCCTGCTGGCAGCAGGCAGGAACCTAAACAGGTCAGGAGCCTAAAGCTGAGCTCAACAAGAGCCTAAATGAACCCTAAATTTCCCAGTGCAAGGAACAGGGGCTTTGTGGTGTCATTTTTTGGAAAAGGGGGAAATCACATTTCAGTTTCCTACTGAGGGAGGAGCTGGTGATCTGCAGATGAGATCAGATGGAAAGAGATAACGTGTGCCTTGTTAGGGTGTTTTCATGTCTGTACCAGATGCACTCACAGGAGTTTAAAGTTGACCTTGAGAGGTGAAAACTGTGCATTTGGGTGAACAGAGAGAAGTTCTGAAATCCACCTTTCTAACTCTGCTTCCTGTTTGCTCTCTGGCAGGTGAAGTGGAAAGGGAAAGACCTGTTTGATCTGGTGTGCAGGACCCTGGGGCTGCGGGAAACCTGGTTCTTTGGGCTGCAGTACACCATCAAGGACACGGTGGCTTGGCTCAAAATGGACAAAAAGGTTGGAACCAAAGTTCACAAAATCCCAGAGTGGTTTGGGTTGAAGGGACCCTGAAGCTCATCTCATTCCAAACCCTCTCCATGAACAGGGATATTTCCCTGGAGAGGTTGTGTGGGATGACAAAGGAAAATGTCCTTTTGTCTGTGAATGCCCAAGGTTGTGTGGTGGGTGAACTGGGACAGATGCACTTAAGTCCCATCTCTGTGATATCTGGGGGTGTTAGACTGGGAAAAGCTGGCAGATGTGCCCCATCCCAGCATCTGTGCACACTGAATCCCCTGGAGACATTTTGGGACCCAGCCATGCTGGGGTGCTGCACTTTGGGGTGACTGCAAAGCAAATGAAACCTAAAACTCCACAAAACCGTCAGCAGAAAAGTGGAGTTGCCTCTTCTGTTGCTGAGAAATAAGAGAGCTTGGGAGGAGGAAAACCAGAGTGAAAAGGAGATGGGGATAAGGGAGGAAATGCCCCCCAAATCTGTGAGGGGAAGGTTTTGGAGGTGTCAGGTGTGGCTTGTTCACATCCAAAGGATGTGACACTACAGCCAGGTGATCATGGACACCAAGGGGGACCTGGCTGTCTCACCTCTCAGGCTGAGGTTTTAAACCAGCATTCAACTGGGCAGTAGCAGAGCAAGGTGGTAAAAAACAGCAGTGAGATAAACTCAGAGCAGGAAACCAAGGAGAAGGTCGGGTGGTGGCGCAGCAGGATCCAACATCTCTCTGCAAGTATCAGGAGAGGCAAGGAGCACGTGGCAGATCAGGATCAACCTTCACTGTCTCATTTCTCATGCTGTTTGTTTCTGCCTTTTTTTGTTCCCTTGCATCATTAGGAGTGTCAGAAATGTTTGTTTTCTTTTTTTAACTACGGTGTTTGAACTATTTAGGTCTGTTCTAGATGTCTAAAAGTGTCTGACAGAATATGTGCTCATCTGAACAGAAGGGAGCTGGGTCTTGCCTTGAGGAAACCAAATGGCTTTTGTATCCCACAGGTCCTGGATCATGATGTTCCCACAGAAGAGCCCAAAACTTTTCACTTCCTGGCCAAATTTTATCCTGAGAATGCAGAGGAGGAATTGGTCCAGGAAATCACCCAGCACCTGTTCTTCCTGCAGGTGGGAGTCCATACACTGCTATCCACCCTGAGGGAGAGGGAGCCAGGATGAGCAGAAGGTCCCAGGGTCAGAGAGTTGGTCAGCAGAGTGTGCTCCACATCCTTGTGTTCACACCTCTCCAAAGGGATTGTCTAACAACAGAAGCTTCCTAAAATAGGTGAAGGATGGTTTTTGTGCAGGAAGCAGCTTGCCCAGACTGGCAGACCTGTGAACTGGCAGTCCAGAATGATGAGGTGATCCATTATATCCATGGGGGGTGGCTCAGGGACATGGATCTGGCAGCCAAGGGCTCGTGTCCCTCTGCAGGCTGTGGGATGAGCTGTGCTCAGGGGTGGCAGCTGCCTTTGGACGTGACAGCAGTGTTGTGTGGAGCAGGGAGCTGATCCTGCAGAGCAGAGTGCAGCCAGGACAGCAAAGTTCCCCTTCCTCCTCACCAAACAGCCTTCAGGTACCTGGGGCAGAACATCCCAGCAGCTCAGCTCTCTGATGGAAAAACAGAGCAGGAGGAGAAACCTCACAATCTCACCTGCTCCAGGAGTTCCTGCCCTGCAGGAAAGCATTTAGAAACTCTGCTGAACACATCTTGGTTGGGTCTTTTTATTTAAATTATTCTACAAAACTTTGTGTCCTGAGAAATCAGTTCAGCTGATGATGTGGCAGTGCTGCACGGCTGGTAACAAGGAGCTGGTATCACAGGAGCTCTCTTTCAGAGACATGATCAATTTTCTGCCACAAAATCCATTTTCTGACACATTCTTCCTCAGAAGAGTTGTGTCAAGCACAGTTAGAGGGAACAGAGCCCTCCTAGTCAGACTCCTGGGTATTCACTGGGATGTTTCAGCTGCTCTCTGGCTGTTAATTTGAAGATAAATTACAAAAATTTTTTTTTTAAGTCACTCATTCTTAGGTTTTTTACACCAAAGTCAGGACAACCTGGATTTGGGAATACCTCTGTAGCCTGCAGGGTGTCCTGCCCTTTCCAAGTGAGCCCAGCAGCCTCTTGATGGTCCTCACTCTTCCCAAGTCCATCTTATTTCTCCAGAGCCAAAAGTGTTCTAAATGCAAAGTATTCCTGTTAATTTCCAAGCTCAGTCTCGTGCACTGGTGTCTCTGTAGGGCTATTTCTGAATGCCTCATTTGCCAGGAGCTTTATCCACAGTGAGGAAAAATACTGTTGGCATCTTTGAGAAGGAAAATCAGAGAGGAAAAGCCATTCAAGCTGCATTTTCTAAATGCAGACCATGACTTTGCTGCTGGGATTTGTGTGCTGAGAGGAACCTGGGCTCCTGAATGCATTTGGGAAACAGGAGCACATCTAAGCTTGTAAACTCTCCTGTTTTTTATCTTGATGCAGCAGAATATCTGCTGTGATTATGTTGTACCCAACTTTGAGGACTCAAAGCACGTTATAAATTCAAATTGATGTTCCTGCATCTCCAACAATCCATTTAAGCCTCCCAGGAAATCGTCGGCTTTTTACATTTTTTTTCCCCTCCTATCTTTAATCAGGAAAATTAAGTGTGCCAACCCAAAACCTATGGAACATGACAGGTTTAATTTTTGAATGCACAGGAGGCAGGGGAGGGAAGCTGTGCCTTGGGGAGCTGTTGACTCTCCTGGGAGCTGCTGAAAGCTCTGCCACAGAGGTGACCTGCAGCTCCCCATGCTGGCATCCAAGGGATTGGCCTCCAGCACAGGTGAGCACTGACTCACAATGAGGCCTGGATGTCCCAGAACAAAGCTTGCAGTGCTCAGAGATTGCTCTTTTATTTAGCAGCGTGGCTGGATGTCCTATCAATCCATGGCTCGTGCCTCAAGAGGTTTTATCGCTGTGTTTACATGCAAGGTTCTCCCCCCTCACACACCCCTTGCCTTTAGCAACAGGATAAAGCTGCTGTCATTTTCCACATATAAATTTAGCTCTTCTCACCAACCTGTCTGAGGAAGGTGGTCTGTGAAAGCCTGAGCCCTTCTGAGCCACCAGAGATTTCCTGGGTCTGGACTGTGATTAGTGTTAGGAAAATTGTTAACTCTGTGTGGTTGACAGCTCAAGTTAAAACAAACTGCAGCCATCTGCTGTGACAGTCATGCTCTGCTGTGCTCCACTAAACGTGTGCTGTCTGTGCTTTGCTGCTCTGTGTGCAGGTGAAGAAGCAGATTTTGGATGAGAAGATCTTCTGTCCTCCTGAAGCCTCTGTCCTGCTGGCCTCTTATGCTGTCCAAGCCAAGGTAGGCAGCAGGGGATGCTCCCAGGGCCTGCTGGGCTGGTGTTGGTCCAGGTGCTTTGTGGTGGAGCCACTTCCTGGGGAAAGGGAAGGCAGGGAAAGCGGTGAAAGCTTGGGAGGTGAGGGGGCTACACCAGCACTGCTGCCTTCTCCACGTGGCTGGTTCCTGGCTGCTTCCAGACATTGGATGGGTTTTTGATTTCTCTTTCCAGGACTCTTTAGCAAATGCTCAGCTCATGAGCTGCAGAGCCTGCTTGAATGTGGCTTACTGTGGCTCACTTTTGAGCAGGTGAATTCCCTGAGCCTGAGATTTTTTGGATCTCCTCCCTGCTTTTGCCTGTGTAGCCAGAGGCAAACCTGGTATGGGACTCCCAGCTCCACTGCTCCCTCAGAATACTTATCTTGATAATGACTTTATTTCAGTGCTAGAGCTGTCACATCCATTTTATTGCACTGTGAAAAGGTTTTTCCTGGCTTCTCCCTTTATCTTGGGTTTGATCTTGGGTGTTTGGCCTCACCAGACAGAGGGAAAAGTCAGTGTTCATTGAGTTCCTGTTGTTTTTCTGCTGCATTCTGCTCTGGGCCCAGAGTGGGTGTGTTTTGCTGAGGATTTATTCCAGAGGACACTGTTTTCCAGTCTGGGGTGTGCAGCCTTGCCGAGGGCAGAGACTCCTGGGGTGGAGGGAGCAGCTCAGGGTTCATTGTTGCACTCAGGGACATAATTTCTCCCTCTCTGTGTATGCCCAACATGTGCTGCTGCTCAGTTATCAGCTGCTGGAGCTCAGCCACAGTTTGGGTGTGCAAAGATCCTGTTTTGGGAGGGAGAGGAGCAACTGCAGTCTGAGCACAGCCCAGCCACGTTGTCTCTGCATCTCCTGCTGGTTCTGGCTCTGGGTGGGATTTTGGGAGGGTTTGGCTCACAGGACCACAGGCAGGTGGCCGTGCCCTGGTTCTGGCAAGTCCAGCTGCCCTTGAGGAGCATGGCTGTGGAGAGGTTTAGGAGGAGCAGCTCTGTCTTTGCTGGCAATGCAGGAGAGGAGGTTTGGCTCTGTTGCAGAAGAGAGGGCCTGATCCAGGTTGTTTTTTCCCTTTGGCCACGTAATTTTCTCATAAGCCTTCAGCTCACACTCTGAGTAGAGCCCTGGGTGCCATGTTCTTTGATGGGGTTAGAATTTACAAGAAATTGGTGTTTTCCCCTCATAATCAGAGTATTGATGAAACCATGTTTTGTTCAAGAGACTCATCAGCTGGGTAAAGAAAAGTTGCTTTTAGAAATGTTTCTGTTTGTGTGAAACATTCATCACTCTTATTAGAGTGCATGAGTAAACACTTCCTTGGCTTTCCTTCCATTGACCTGAGTTGAGGATATGTAGGGAATGACTTTTCTGGCTGCCAGAATGAATAAATGTTGGGTAAATATTGAGCTCTGTTACCTCATGGCCGGGACAGCTCCTTGGGTACAGGCTGTGCCTTGGTGCAGGTGGGTTGTGCCCTCCCCTTTGTCCCCCTGGCACCTTGAGTGTCCTGGGGCACTGGGAGGAGCTCACATGGAGCCAGGGCAGTTCTGACCATGCTGAGATCAGAAAGTGGAGCAGGGATGGCTTTTCTGCTTTTCACTAAAGGGTTTTCTTCTTTCCTTGCTGCCCCTCCAGCCTGGGATTCCCCTTCTCTTTCACTCCCAGCAAAGGTGAGAGCTGAAAGCACATCTTCATACAGAACTGGGAAGAAGGATGTTGCAGGTCATCTCCTTCCAGTTGAATAGGATAATCATGTCCTTCCTGGGCAAGAAAGCAGGCAGAGAGTGCAGTAATTTCACTAATAACGTGCTGATTTGCATGATTAGGGGCATAATAGCCTGACACAGCAGTGTGTGTGCATCCAGCAGCCACTTATTGACAGCCAGGTGCTGCTGGTCCATCCACCCCAACCTGAGACAGCAAAGGAAGCAGGGGGGTCATAAAAATAACAGCTTATTTATTTCTCTCTCGTTGTGTTCATTTGGGGAATTACTATGAGCTTTCCTCTCCAGCCCTGTTCAAACCACCCACGTGCCTTTCAGAGGTTGGAGGTGGTTCAGGTTTTAAATAGCTGGGAAAGACGTGGGATCAACTGGAAAAAAAATGGGAACATCCAGGAGGTTCTTCTATTTTTTGCCCCTTAAATGCAGGTCGCTGTTGTGCTGCAACTCTCTCAGCACTTCAGATCTTGTAGCACAGCAAACAGCTCTTTAATTATTATTGTTTTTCCTCCAAACAAGCAATACTTGGTGTTAATTTGTAGCTGAGCGTGCCTGTGTTTATCCAACAGTCTAAGCTGGGTGTATGAATGTGGTAAAGGCAATTCCATGCCCAATCATGAATATTAATCATACAGTTCAATTAACAAGAGCTGAAATTCCATGACAGTTTGAAAGTAATGGTTTAATTGAAAAGGCCTTTAGAAAGTACATTTGCAAAATCATTTGAGCCAACAAATTCTGCAATACTTAAGCCATTTGTTGATTTTTGACTTGTGAATAATTAATGTTCTCATCCAGACTCCCTTCTCAGTACAAATATTCCTCTGGGACACGGCAGTATTTTTTAGCACATGAAAAGTCACATAATCCATACTTAGTCTTAGACTTCCGCAGAAGATCACAACGGAAAATAATCATGTTAATCCTATTTACTATTATTTTCATCACCCAAAAATGATTTACTTGCTGCCTGTCCAAAGTTGTTGGAGTTGCTTCCTTCACCAGTGCCACGTTTTTAGTGCTGCTTCCTTTGGAGGGAGGCTCAGGGGCCGTGTACCTGCAGAGTGCTGCATCCTGAGGAACTCCAAGACCTTGGAAGGCAGAGAGTTGCCCCCACTCTTGGGTGAAATCCGGGCTGGTTTTGTTCTATTAATTGAAGTCTGAGTCAGTGTTGGTTGTTGTTCCATGCTCCCTTTGCATCTGCATTGGCTCCAAATCAATATTTGTGTCTTTAATCCCCACGTGTTGTCTCCCAAGCGCAGAGGTGGGATGTGTGTAGACTTTTGATGCTGAGCTCTGGGTTTGGTGCACGGTGTGAAGGTCCTGGCACAAAAAGGAGGCTGAGGGGAAAAGCCTCCTGACTTGCTGTATGACCACCAAGTGCCTCTTGGTCTTGTGTTTAAAAATTGTCACCATTTGCATTTCCTGGGTGAAGGTTGCTCAGAAGAGCAGGGAGGGAAGGGCTGCCCCACTTGCAAATGAGTGGCTGGAGCAAACGGCGCTGTGCTCGTGCAGTCGGGCACTGTCACCTCTAGCACTGCAGAAGTCCTGGTTGCCAGGTGAAGGAAGTGTGGAAGTCACAGCACTCCGTGTACGTGCCTCACATGCTTTGTTCCTCTCCCCTGAATTTGCTGGGCTGCTGGAGGAGCCGTTTTGCAGCGTTTTCCTGCCCTCTGAGGCCGTGCAGGAGGTAAATTCATTTTCACATGCACCGCAGGGACACGCGGCTCTTCAATCTGTTAATAAGCAGTTTTCTTTCTCAGTCACTTTATATGCTGCTCAAAGAGATGTAAATCTAAACAAATACCAGTAATTAGTGGATGTGCTTAACAAATCTGAATTGGATTCCATGACCCAGTTGAGCAACAGACCCTCTGACAGAAGAGCCACCACCTGCCTGAGAGGAATCTGTCAAACTCCTCTAATTTTTTTGATATTTATTCATTAGGGTGGTGAGCAGCGACAGAGGAACTGCCATCTGCCTAACCTGGATCACTGCTATCTGTCAGTTTTTGGGGACAGGTCTTTCTCCATGTCTTATTTCCTTGTTCCACTACCTGTGGAACTGCAAGGACCTCTCAGTCTATAGTCTTGCCCTGCATTGGGGGAAATGTTAGTTAGGGCATGATAATGAGGATAGAATAGAATAGAATAGAATAGAATAGAATAGAATAGAATAGAGTAGAATAGAATAGAATAGAATAAATAGAATAGACAACCATCATCTAGTCCAGCTGGACTGATGGAGGGCATCAACTGGTGATGGTCATCAGCTGAAGTTGTGGCAAGTGGTGGAGTCACCATCCCTGGAAGTGTTCAAAAACCGAGCAGATGTGGCTCTTGGGGACCTTAGGGGTGTTCAGTCACTTGATCTTGGAGACCTTTTCCAACCTTAATGATTCTGTGATGGTGGGAAGTTTTGTTCTTCTCCCAGCTCTGCTGCACGAGTAGAAGGAAGTTCTTTGTCTCTATTAGCAATGAAATTACAAAGAAACCCAGGTTATTCCCCTTAGAGAGCAGCAGGCTCTGTGCTCGTGGGATGAAGGGGTGAGCAGGCTGTGTTTGCTGTCTCTCAGGGCTGGCTGTGAGGGGTGAAGAGTTTGACTTGTCCTTGTTGTTAACCTGGGGTGTGTGTGGTGTCTGTGCTTCTCCCCAGTACGGTGACTACGATCCCAACGTGCACAAGAGAGGCTTCCTGGCACAGGAGGAGCTGCTTCCCAAGCGGGTAAGGAGCTCAGCAGCATCAGGGAGTCACTGCCCAGGCTGTCCTGAGGCTGGACGTGCTGCTGGGAGCTGTCTTGGTGTTTCTGGCTTTCTTGCTGAGCCAGGAGCAGCACTGTGACCTGGTGTCTGTCTCCCACCTATGCCAGGTAATAAACCTGTACCAGATGACTCCAGAGATGTGGGAGGAAAGGATAACAGCCTGGTACGCAGAGCACCGGGGCAGAGCCAGGTGAGCTTGTGCGCTGGGCTGGGTCAGGGCCAGTCCCCTCCCTTGGAGAGTCACCAGGCTTTGGGAAGCTTGGGCAGGCACTGGGTGAGCTCTGCCAGCAGGTTAATCCCAGCACATCTCTGCAGAAGCCTGGGGGGGAGCTCAAAGCTTTTGTTGATGGCTCTGCTTGTACCTTGGTCATTGTCGGGGCCTTAGGAATGATGCAAAGTAAGGACTCACCTGCATCAGGGATCTGGGAGAAGAAATAGAAATTCAAACCCTGTGGCTGCCTCAGGTGGCAGAATGCTCCTTTTGGGGGATAAACATAAAGCCATGGATCTGAAACAGTGGCATCCCAGCCAGGGATTTCCTATTTATGCTGAAGGGATTGGGAGGTGAACAAAGCCAGGCCTGGAGTGCTGCATCTCAGCAGCCACTCAGATGCTGGCAACTGCAGAGAGAGATTTGCTCTTGGACTTTATTGATCCTGCCAGCAAAGACAGGATTGACCTGTGTGATAGAGACAGTCCAAGCTTTAAAGCCTGGTGAGTGCTTAGAATCAGCAGGAGCAGCCATGTCCCTCTCTGATCCTCCCAAACACTGTTCCTGCCTGACAGAGATGAAGCTGAAATGGAGTATCTGAAGATAGCCCAGGACCTGGAAATGTACGGCGTGAACTACTTCGCCATCAGGGTGAGTTGGGTGGGCTGGGGGTCCTGTTTTCCTGCCAGGGTAATCTCCATGTCCTGGAGAGCCAGGAGAGCTGGGACGTGACATTTGGGGACCCCACTGGTGCTGAGGGGAGGCAGCAGCTCCTGGTGCCCAGTGCTGGGTCACTGCTGGGGGCTGGCTGAGGAGGGAACAGTGGTTCACATCTGACCCTCCCACTGATTTCTGCTCTTCCCTTTCCTCCTGCAGAATAAAAAGGGCACAGAGCTGCTCCTTGGAGTTGATGCCTTGGGTCTGCACATTTATGACCCAGACAACAGGTTGACCCCTAAAATCTCCTTCCCATGGAACGAGATCCGGAATATCTCCTACAGTGATAAAGAGGTATGGATGTGTCCCACCTCCTCCCTGAGAGCAGTAAGAACACAACTGGGATTTAAAATGATTTCTTCTTTTCACTTCTCTGTCTGCTGTGCTTGCTCTCACCAGCTTAGCTAAGGGCAGCTCAACTCCTCCAGTTGAAACCTTAATCCAAGCCTTCCTGAAATTGTGCAGGAGTGGGCGTGCAAGGGGTCACTGGGGAGCTGGTTCTCCTCTTTGGTTTCAAACCTTCTATGTAATAATCTTTTCAAAAACCCAAAATTGCTGTTGATGTTCTTAGCCCAAATACCAGAGTTCAGAAGTTAAAATCTCTTCTTTACTGCATATATTACAGTATTTATTACTGTGGATGTATTCTGTATTATGGAATACAGGGAGATGTATTCCTGGGGAGAAGAGCTCTTGCCATCTCATTACATCATCTTGGGTTTCAGGCTGCTGGGCTTGGCATAGCAGCTGGAATCTTTTTAGGAAGTTGAGCAATTTAAGCCCTCTGTTAGATAGTTATTTATTAAATCCAGAGTCTAAATCTGGGTCTTTGGGATTGTTGGCCCCCAAACCTAATTGAGAACAGAAGTGCAATTGGCTGAGGACGGGGGAACTGAGCAGCTCCATTTTAAGTCTGAGAGAGCTGCTCAAAGAAACCAGCTGCCTTCATGGTAAGGAAGAGAATTAACTTCTTAATTAAAAATGGTTTTCTAATCTAAACATGATATTGATCAGGGGAGCAGCTAAAGGTTTCTCATCAGCTGCGTTTATTGCATGTCTTGTGAAGTTTCATAAGCAGTAAATCTGTGCTGGAATTGTCTCCACTTGCTTTACTCCTTAAAGAGCTTCAGGACTCTGCAGAAAGCCCAGCACTGAGTGACTTGCAAAGCTTCTCTGCCTGTCACAGAGCAGTGGGAGCTCCCCAGAATGCAGGGACTGACCCCTGCATAGGCAGCCTTGCCACAGGGCTGTGTCAGAGCTGTCTCCAGGGGCAGGATGGATCCCTTCCATCAGCTCAATCATCAGGTGCCCACGAGCAGGCCTGACCTGATGCAAACAGGGCCAATAGCTGGGAGCAGCAGCTCTGCTGGCACCACACTGGGGGTTATCCCTCCTAACAAAGATTGACTGTTCACACAGAGCTGGAACTCCTCTCCCAGCACATTCCTGCTGCTGCTCTCAGTGCTGGGGGCCCTGCTGGAGCTCAAATCCAGGGACGTTCATGCACGTCTGCTTTTGTGAAAGTCTTAAAAGATAGGCTCTTAAACTGCCAGAGCAAGGCAGTGCCAGGACAGGGCCCTTTGCAGGCAGGGCCGTGTATTGACAGATCTCCCACTCTAATGGACACACTCTGTCTGCTCCAGCTCCTCAGCCCGTTATTTCTGTAGTGTGTGGGGGAGTGATGGAATATGTGCATGTCTCCTAAAAAATGCCATCTTGCAGAGCACTCCATCTCTTCAAGTGCCCTTTTGATAGTGCAGAGGCTTCTCTCCATCCAAGGGCTGCATTACCAAAGCCCTTGAGAGATTTGTGCCACCACTGGGCTCTCTGTGGGAGAGCTGTGGAGAGGGTGAAGCCAGGCCATGGGTAGGGCTGGCTGGTTGGTACATGGACTGTAAACACAACTTAGAGCCAGGGAATAACAGTCTGAATTGTGGGGAAATCTTAGGACATCCTGTTTGAATTGTGGGGAAATGTGAGTTCTGGAGAAGGAAATGCATGGAAAATTCTTCTGGGGAGCTCTTGTGAGTGGAAGTGTCAGTGGGAAGGGTGGCAGCTCCTTGCTGTGTTCCTGATGCAGCTCTCCTGCCTTTTAACTCCCTGACAGGAGAGTGCAGCCAGCTGGGAGTCGAGCTCTTCTCCCAGGTAAAAAGTGACAGGATGAGATGACACAGCCTCAAGTTGTGCCAGGGAAGGTTTAAGATGGATATTAGGGAAAAATCCTTCATTAAAGGGCTGTCAAACCCTCACCCAGACTGCCAAGGAAAGTGTTCAGAACACTTGTGGATGTGGCACCTGGGGACAGGGTTTGAGGGTGAGCACGGTGCTGTTGGATTGATACTTGAATTTTAGGATCTTGGAGCGCTTTTCCAACCTTAATGATTCCATGGTGCTGTGTGATGGTGTTCACAGGGGTCTCAGGTTGAGGGAAGAGACGAGGATCTGACTCCATGTTTCAGAAGGGTGATTCATTATTTAATGATCTATATTACATTAAAATTGTACTAAAAGAATGGAAGAAAGGATTTCATCAGAAGGCTAGCTAAGAATAGAATAGCAAAGAATGAAAACAAAGGTTTGTGGCTTGGACTCTCTGTCCGAGCCAGCTGGGCTGTCATTGGCCATTAATTAGAAACAACCAACATGGGCAATCAAAAATCCACCTGTTGCATTCCACAGCAGCAGATAATCAATGTTTACATTTTGTTCCTGAGGCCTCCCAGCTTCCCAGGAGGAAAACTCCTAAGGAAAGGATTTTCCATAAAAGATGTCTGCGACAGCGCTGAGCTGGTTCTTCCTTTGGAAGCATGCTGAGTTCCTGCTGTGGTTTCTGTGTTCCCTGCAGCTCCCAGGAGAGCAGCACCTTGCCTGGGGAGGTGCTGAGCTGAACCCCCACCCCTGCAGGGTTCTCTCAGAGGACACCAGCTCCTGTGGCCCCCGTGTTTTCCTGGCAGGAGGAACAGTTGTCTCCTTGGCTGCTTTTGATGCGAGTCCTCTTTTTTGGCTCAGAGCCACGGGGCCGGCTCTGAGCCGTGTGTCTGACCCTGCTGACCTGCTCTGAGCCAGAGCTTTCAGGAAGAATTTTATAGCTGCCTTTTTATTAAATGCACCACTCTCTGATAACTCTCTCCCTCTTTATTTTTTCCTTTTCAGTTTACGATTAAGCCATTGGACAAAAAGATTGATGTTTTTAAATTCAATTCATCAAAGCTGCGTGTGAATAAGCTGGTAAGTGCACAGACAGGCTTTTTTTACTGCCTGCAGCAGTGGGTTCTGCAGAGAGTGTGACACAACGAGCTTTTGGGGCTTTTCCTTTGAGAGGGAGCTGCTGCTGTGTGGCTGTGATGGGGTGCAGCAGTTTCTGCTCACTGAAGGAGAGAAGGGAGAGACTCAAGACAAGCTGCTCCACAGAACCTCTCCCCCTTCCCCTGTTTTTGTGCTCCCTTTTGGAGCTCTTGGCTTCCAGCTGACCTAAATAGTGGAAGCACTTAGTAAATACAGCTCCCAGCTTTGCTCAGTTCCTCTTTCTTCCCATGTGGATCTTTCCCATTCTGCCCTGTGTCGTAGCTTTCCCTGTTTTGGGAGGCACATTTACCAGAGTCCTGGCTTTTCCCCCTCTGAGGACTCTCCTTGGACAAGGATGGGCTGCATTGAGCTGTCCATGTTGGAGACCAGCTTTAGCTGATGTTCTGGATTTGAATCTGTAGTTAGGTCACACAGGGTACCTTTGCTGTCCTGTTGTTGGCCGTGCTTCGTATTCCATAGGAAATGGGGCTTCCTCATTCCCTGCAGCATCAGGTTCATAGTGCTGAAATCTTCAGAGAAGTCATTTGTGACTTGGGTTGTGGCTGCCCCATCCCTGAAAGTTTTCCAGGCCAGATTGGATGGGGCTTGGAGCACCCTGGGATAGTGGGATGTGTCCCTGCCCATGGCAGGGGGTGGCACTGCATGATCTTAAAGGTCTCTTCCAACTCCAACCATTTCATGATTCTTGTGATTTTATGAAATGGAAGAAGAGCATGTAAATCAGTCCTTTAGAAAAGAATCCAAATTTAGAACCCTGCTTTTATTGCTAAAAAAATCTTTTCACTCCTCTGTGTGCCCACCTTGTGCTAACCCTCCTCTAGCACTGCCACCTCCCTGGTCCTCACCAGAGAGAGAACCACAGTGGGGCTCAAATCCCTTCAGCAAAGGCATCAGGAGATGCCCAAGCAAGTTTTGGATAAGCCTTCTGTTTGTCCAAATGGAAAGTGGTTTTCCTTTTTTTTTTCCCCTTTTAATTTATTTTTTAATCTCAGTGCCTTAAAAGTACACTGGGGAGAAGGTGCAAGTTAATTTTGAGCCTAAAGAAAGGGGGCAGTGAGGACCAGGGAACCAGGCAAAGCTGTAGAAATTTTTTATTTCATTATTTGGCCTCTTGCCTTTTTAGAGTGGTTGTGAAACAACACCCATGCTGTGCTGGAGGCACAGAAAATTGGTGTCTGCAAAGAGCTGCTGTACCCAGGAGCTGATGTTTGGTGTGGGACCTGGCTCCCTGCCCCTCCTACAGCTGTGAGAGCTCGCAGGGTTGGAGCTCAGTGGGTGGAAGCACTAACAAGCACCAAATCAAAGCAATTCTAGTGGTTTTGTGTGTCAGGAATACAAACCACCTCATTGCCATCACGCGTGCAGCTGTGTCTCTGCTCTTCACCCCTGACTGCAACAGATCCTTCAGCTGTGCATTGGGAACCACGACCTCTTCATGAGGAGGAGGAAGGCAGACTCATTGGAGGTGCAGCAGATGAAGGCACAGGCCAGGGAGGAGAAGGCCAGGAAGCAGGTGAGCCACATATCCCATAACCAGTGAGCCAAAATCAGAAATGCAGACGGGCTTGGGAAGGACAGATCTCTGGAATGGCTTCAGAGCAGCTTTGAGGGAAGGTCCAGCTGAACATTTTTTAGTAGCCTGCTCCCAGCTCTCCAGCCATCTCAGCTTGGCTCTGCAGGTTGGTGGCAGCCTGAGTCCAGCCCCCAATTTGGGAACAAACCTGAGAGGACGGGAGGGAAGAGCTGCCCTGGGTGTCTACAAGAGCGTGGCAGGCCGTGTGTTGGGACAGTTGGTTAATCAGGGGCTGTGAGGGGGAGCTGTGTTCTGCTGTGGCTCTTTGGCTCATTTCTAATTGCAGGGTGATGGAATGCACAGGCTGTGCAGCCTGGAATGCTAATTCCACCCCGGCCTCTCTCCGTGCCGCGGGTCAGCCCGGGCGGCCGGCGCGGCGCGGCGGAGGCAGCGGCGTGGAGCCCACGAGCAGAGATCAGCAAATTGAATTGTATGAATCATTGTTTGCTGCTCGTAGACCTTTTCTACTCACTGAAACCCACACAGCTAATCCGAGCACTGGTGCTTGGAATATAAATGGCCCCTTTGGCAGGGAAGCCAGTAGAGAGGAGGAGAAGCCAGAGCAGGCACTGCACCCAGCAGGGGCTTGTGCTCATGGGTCTGGGTGTTACTGGGTTTGAGTGTGGCCACAGAGGTGCTTGTGTGGGGTGGAGGTGCTCAGCTGGGCTGGAAATGGGACATGGTTTGTCCTTCAGGCACCTCTCTCAATCCTTTTGTGGTGCTGAGGTGCTCAGCCAAGCTGAAGGTAGGACATGGCTCATTCTTCAGGCACCTCTTGGTGTTTGTGTGGTGCTGAGGTGCTCAGCTGGGCTGAAGGTAGGACATGGCTCATTCTTCAGGCACCTCTTGGTGTTTGTGTGGTGCTGAGGTGCTCAGCTGGGCTGAAGGTAGGACATGGTTTGTTCTTCAGACACCTCTTGGTGTTTGTGTGGTGCTGAGCCTGGAAATGGGATGTGTCTTGTCCTTCATGTACCTCCCAAGGTGCTTGTGTGGTGCTGAGGTGCTCAGCTGGGCTGGAGGTGGGATGTGGCTTGTCCTTCAGGCACCTCCTGAAGCAGTTTTCCTTCATGTAGCTCATGGAGTGGCAGGAGAGGTCTGGACTTGAGTCACTACAAGCCCCACTGGGGAAGAGGGACTTTGTGTTTCCCACAGGGATCCCTCTGGTCAGTGAGGAGTTGGCACTGTAGAACCATTGAGGCTGGAAAAGCACTCTGAGGCCTCCAGCCATCAACCCTTCACCACTGTGTTCCCTCAGCCACGTCCTTAGTGGAGCAGAAGGTCCTTGGAAGGAGCAGCATGGTGTCCAAGTGCTGACAGCCTCAGGGATGGGTGGTCAGGCATTGGAATGGGCTGCCCAGGGAAGTGATGAAGTCACCATCCCTGGAGGAGTTCAGAAGTGCATGTGGCACTCAAGGATATGGCTTTGTGGAGTACACAGTGGTGCTGGGATAATGGTTGTGCTTGGGCTCAGAGGGCTTTTCCAACCTGAACAATTCCATGAATCTTTAAGTTTTACAATGTGTGAGTTTTGATGTGTTTAGATAACACCACACCCAAGATCCTGTGCTTGTTTGGCTGCTGGAAGAGGTGAGAGCTCTGGGAGAGAGCAGCAGCTTATGGCTCCAGTGAGCTTCCAAATCCAGAGCACTTGGGCTCCATGGGAGAGGTCAGGCTCCTGTGTGGGCTGGCTGCCCTGTCCTGAGCAAACCACTGTGCTCTCTGCCCTTCTCTCTACTCCCCAGAATTCACTGGTTGCAAATAGTCCTTTTAGATCAGGAGTTCTTGTTAATGGGAGTCCTGAGCGGGATGCAGATCATAATGATAATTGATGAGGGGAACCTTTAATGGAAGGAAGCAGAACGGTTGGAACAGTGGGCGTCCCGCTTTCAGAGCACAGCTGGTGTCCAAGGAGTAGAGAAATGTGGCTTGTCTCACTTCCTTCCCTTATTAAACCCAGCAGGTCTCCTGTCCTGGCTGCAGTGTGGATATTTATAATGCCCCATCCCTGTGGGACTGGAGGAATTAAACTCAGTGTGTTAATTAGCCCAATGGCTCCCTTGGGCTCTTGGCTAGTGAAGAGGCAGTCCCTGGGCACAACAATCCTCTCAGCATCTTCTGGGAAGAGCTGGCAGGTCCTAATGGCTTGGATCTTCTCCTCCTGGAGAAGCATTGCTGTACCCTGCAAACAGAGAGGGTTTGTTTTATCCAGGAATTGCCAGAGGTGGTTGTACTCTGTGTGACCTCCCTCTGAAGGAATGGAAGTGAAGGTTCCAGGATGCTGGGTTGGATATCTGATCAAAAGGAGCAGCTATCCTTGTCCTTCAGTCTCCTGCCATGTGCTTCAGTGTTTGGGAGATGCCCTCAGACTGTCCTTAAGCCCAGCCCTGCTGTAAGAAACTCCAGAGTGTTAAGCTGGAGATCTTGAGACCCACTTGTCCTGGTCTGGCCTGTGACTCAGCCTAGGAGGGCACTGTCTGGGGACATTGTCACCTGCAGGCAGCTCCTGTGGCCATGCTGTGACAGCCTGAGCAGAGGATGGGAATCGTTATCAAGGGAGCATCAAACAGGCTGCCAGGGCAGGGGTGGAGTCACCATCCCTGAAAGGGTTAAAAGAACGTGTGGATGTGGCACTTGGGGACATGGCTAAGGGGTGGCCTTGGCTGTGCTGGGAGAACAGCTGGACTTGATGATCTTGGAGGTCTTTTCCAGCCTAAGTGATGCCATGATTCTGTTCTTTGGTCAGGTCACCCCGGTTCAGGGATGTTCCCATTGTCACTAAGCAGAGAGGAGGCAGCAGTGCCCTGACCTCACCTGTGGCTCTTTCTCATCCATGGAAAAACTTCCTCATGTGTTTTCTTCTCCTCACTTTCCCCAATCCCTTTTTCCTGACCTCACCTGTGACTCTTTCTCATCCATGGAAAACCTTTCTCATGTGTGTTCTTCTCCTCATTTTCCCCAATCCCCTTTTCCCAGATGGAGCGACAGTGCCTGGCACGAGAGAAGCAGATGAGAGAAGAGGCTGAGAGGACCAGGGATGAGCTGGAGAGGAGGCTGATGCAGCTGAAGGAGGAGGCAACCATGGCCAACGAGGCTCTGGTAGGTCCCTGGGAGGCCATTTCCCAAGCACTGCAGCTGCTCCTCACTCTTTCCACTGCAGAAGCGTTTTTGGAAGTGCTCTATGACTGCCCTAACTCCCAAACTGCTGCCAGTGGCCAGTGAGCAGCAGGCTGGATGGAGCCATTTCATCCTGCTGGGCTGCTTGGGAGGAGCACAAAGAGGCTGATTTGGGACAGAGCCTGGGCACATCCCAGCCTTGGCGGCTTTCAGGGAAGGGAGGGATTCTGTGGAGCGTGTCGGAGGCAGCAGCTCGGGGCCCTGCTCCAGGGGCTGTGGGCACATTTGGGGACACATTGGCCGTGCTTAACGGCTTTGTGTCCTGCAATTGTCAGATGAGGTCGGAGGAGACGGCGGATCTGCTGGCAGAGAAGGCGCAGATCACGGAGGAGGAGGCCAAGCTGCTGGCGCAGAAGGCGGCCGAGGCCGAGCAGGAGATGCAGCGCATCAAGGCCACGGCCATCCGCACCGAGGAGGAGAAGAGGCTGATGGAGCAGAAGGTGCTGGAGGCAGAGATGTTGGCACTGAAAATGGCCGAGGAGTCGGAGAGGAGGTCAGAGGGTACAACCTGGCAGCTGCTTCTGCTTTGCTTCCCACTCCCTTCAAGTTATCCCTCTGAGTTATCCTCCCTCAGCTTCTCACGTGTGTCCAACAGCAAATGGCTCTTTGGCCCAGATGGTTTCCCTCTCCAAAAGCCAGCTCTGCTTTTGGGGGCTTTCTGCAACCCTCCCCTGCTTTCCCCAGTGTTAATAACACCTGGGAGTTGTTCTTCCTCTGGATGGTATCTCTAAATTCCCTTTTTTCTCCTTACTCCTTTACTTATCTCTCTGTTGTTCAATTCTCCTTTCCAACCATGAGGTCTGTTCCAGGTTAGCCTTGAGCAGAGACTTTGCTCTTTGTTAAAACTGGTGTTTCCATCCTCCTGATACCCAAGCCCAGGTCCCACGGTGAATGTGGCAGTGAGCAAGTAAAAGATCAGCCTTGTTTCCTTCCAGCTGATTACTCCTCTCTGTCTGAGAGCCTGCTGGCTGTCAGCCCTTCTGCTCGGATGAACTCAGCCCTTCTCTGTCTCTTCTTGCCTATTCCACACTGTGATCCTGCTTCTCCATCCTCTCATTCTGCAGCCTGACATTTGCTGTTCCTGTTGGTCCTTGCAGGGCAAAGGAGGCTGATCAGCTCAAGCAGGACCTGCAGGAGGCTCGCGAGTCGGAGCGCAGAGCCAAGCAGAAGCTCCTGGAGATCACCAGCAAGTCTTCCTACACAGTAAGAGAGATCTGTGTTGTAATTCCCAGTTCCCTGCCCTCCTGTGTAGCCTGGAGGAGCCTCCTTCTCCATCCCAATCATGGAGGGGGCTGAGCTGTCTCTTGGCTGCTCAGAAATCCTGAGCAGTGCTTGCCCTTTTCATCCCTGCATCTCATCCAGCACAACTTCACTATGCTCTTTTTTTTTTTTCCCACCCACCTCTTGCTACAAGAGCAAAGGAGCTGCTGGTGAAATTAAAGCAGCAAATTTTAAACCAATTTAGCAGCCGTGTCAGAGGCACTTTGCCAGCACGTGTGGAGTGCACCAGCTTAGCCATAACCTTTAAAATAGGGTTAAATATACCCTTATTCTTGTTAGGTGGGATAAACACTGTTCAGAACCTGGGAATTCATTCTTTGGGCATAAACTGGACCTTCATGTGCTGGAAAAAAACTTACTTGAAGGGAGATTATTCCATAATTGTCCATTAAGAGGATTTCACACCTTCCTCTGAAGCATCTGCTCCCTGTTCCTGCTGGGCACTGAAAAGCCAGACTGGATGACCAATGCTCTGACTTGTCTGGCAGTTCTTTTCCTCTGCTTCCCTAATTGTGCCTGCAAACCCCATCAGGTGCCTCCAGCCCTGCAGCTCACACCTGTTCCTTCCTGGCCTGGGGGAAGGGGAGCAGCATCAGGAATAGGCTTGAGTGGGAGTTATGGACAGGCCAGCACTGTGGTTTGAATTTGTACCTGCAGGCTCCTTCCCCCTTTGTCTGGAAACTTTATAAGAGCAGATTGGAGAGGGGTTGAGATGGAGCAACTTTTCATCCCAATTCCCTGGAGTTCACTGCAAGAATATTTGGAAGCTGTTAAAAATAACAGTGATGGAAAATAATCAGGTGCTCTCAGCTCTGGGACACTCAGTCAAGTGAGTGCTGGATAAAGCCCAGCTTTGGAGTGCTCCTTCTTTTACAAGTCACTGGAATTCTGGGATGCACCAGCTCCTTAATTCTGGCTTTGACTTGTGCATAGGGAGACACTTGTCCTCGTTGAGCAGTGTGGGATTTGGGCAGCCCTTGCACACCCTGTTCCCTCATGTTTTCATGTCCATCCTTAGTGAAACCAGCAGAGCCCAGCTCGAAGCCCTTGTGCTGAAATCCCTGCACAGGGGAGCAGCTGGGTGGCTCTGCTCTCTGTTCCTGAGGAATTAGAGCCTCATTAGGGGAATGTTGTGGGATTGCATGGAGCTCAGCTCCACCCCTCCAGCTGCATCTGATGCCTGGAGGCAGAGCTGCTGCTTCCAGACACATGGGGCTGTGTCCTCTGCCTTCCCTAAAGAGCCCTGGCCTTCCAGACACGCTGCCAGTGCCTGCTGGGAAGGGAAATGCTTTTTTCCTCCCCATTTTGGTGGCAGGGTCTCCTCATGCAGGTGCTGTTCCTCCTGCCCCTCTCCCAGCCCTGGGATGAGGGATGAGTGTGCTGCACACACTCCCTGGCTGCTGTTTTCAAGGTCAGAAGGAGCCTGGTGTGCCCAGCATGTCCATATCCAGGTGAAAACACCTTGCTGGGCTCTTCCATCCTCTGTTACACTCCCTGGATTGCCAGCACATGGGAGGACCCTGTTTTGAAAGCTGGTTTTGGGAGACTTGAGTTCCTCAGCTGTGATGAACAGTGCAGGATTCCAACTTTTCTCTTCCTGAATGGGGCTCTAACATTGGGCTTGTTCTTTTCCATGGTCCCAGCCTTGTGCTATCATCCCCTGACACTGGGAACTCAGCAGGACTTCACAAGAGCAAGAGAGGAAGGAGGGAGTGGATGGATGTAGAGTCATTTAGTTTGGAAAAAACCCTTCAGAGATGGAATCCAATCCCTGACCTACCTCTGTGCTGCAGAAAAAGCTAAAGAAACAGTTAAATATATATACTTTTCAACTTTCTAATCTCCAATCCTGGCTCTCCAAAGCTTGTTTCAGTGTCTTTTTAGTCCTTGAAGCCCAGGCTGCTTTTATGATGTCACTGGTAGGTGATGCATGAGAAGTGAGATGTGGATGTGAGTGTCACGGCTTGGAGAACGACTCATTCCTTACGGACTTGGCTGCAAATCTCTGCCTCCCTCAGTGCCCTTCAGGTGCCAGCTAAAGGCAGCCACCTCCTCTCTGATCCTGTGGGAGCTGGAAGTGCCTGCTTTGGGCTTGCCCAAAATAAAAGCAGTGGCAGCACCAGGAGGAGCTTTGCCTGCAGGGGAACCCTCCTGACCTGCTCTGTGCTCCCTCTGGATCCTCCCTGTCTGTATTCCAGAGGGATTCAAGGGATGCTGCTGCTGTGCTGCTTTCCTCTTAATGGCAGGAAACTGCTGGAGTGCAGGAACAGGGCTCTGCAGTTTGTTCCAGGTCAGGGAACACATATGGAAAAGCTCCCTGTCCCTTTTATCACCCCATGGCCCTGGATTAGAGATAACAGCACCTGCTGAGAGAGCTGCCCAGGATTGTTGCTAATGGCAGGGAATCTGCAACAGGAATTCTGTCCCTCTGCACCTGCAGAGCTGCATCCAGATTTGGGGTCCCAGCACAGGAGGGACCTGGAGCTGCTGGAGAGAGCCCAGAGGAGGCAGCAGAGATGCTGCAAGGGCTGGAGCCAGGCTGGGAGAGCTGGGGGTGCTCACCTGGAGAGGAGAAGGCTCCAGGGAGAGCTCAGAGCCCCTTGCAGGGCCTGAAGGGGCTCCAGGAGAGCTGCAGAGGGACTGGGGACAAGGGATGGAGGGACAGGACACAGGGAATGGCTCCCACTGCCAGAGGGCAGGGATGGGTGGGATATTGGGCAGGAATTCCTGGCTGTGAAGGTGGGGAGAGCCTGGCACAGGATACCCTGAGAAGCTGTGGCTGCCCCTGGATCCCTGGAAATGTTCCAGGCCAGGTTGGATGGGACTTGGAGCACCCTGCGACAGTGGGAGGTGTCCCTGGCCGTAGCAGGGGTGGAACAGGATGAGTTTTAAGCTCCCTTCCCACCCAAACCATTCCATGATTCTGTTAAATGCTTTGTTCCAAATATCAATCCTGTGCTTTTGAGAGCCCTGAACCTGCTCACTCTTTGCTTTTTCCATACTCTTCCTCACTCCTGCTGCTCTCTGACTTCTCCACCAATTTTTTCCTTGCTCCATGGCAGAGCAGTGCTGAGGGAAGAGAGGGAGGTAGTGGCTGTAGCAACCCTGATGAATTGGCTCAGGCCTTAATGGCTGCAGCAACTGCAATTCCTGCTCAACTGTTACTGCTGCTGTTGGGAGTTTTTAAAAACAAAAACCAACAAAGCTTGTACTGAAAAAAAACCAAGCTAAAGGTTGTTTGAAGGCCAGTGGACTGGCTTGGATGCTCCTGGCTCCCCTGTGCTGCAGGGACAGGAGAACCTCACGTGGGAAGGGCTTTGGGAACGCCTGTGTGCCTTACAGGGAAGGGACTTGAATGTCAATGGGATGCAAGTATTTAAATCAGCTAAGTGCTTTGGCAGACCTGTCCCCTTTCCTTCGAGACTGGAATTGAGGTACTGAGCTGTCCCTTCCAGCTCCTGCTCCAGAATTAATGCGGCTTTGTTCCGTGCTAGCAGCAAAGGGGGAGGAAGGAGTTGGCTTTCCTTGTCAAGTGGGTCTTAACTCACCTGCAAGGCTCCAGCCAGGCCAAGTGCAGTTTGAGGCACCTCCTTGTTTATGCTTGTACGAGGTGTTTGTGTTCCAGCTTTGCTGCTCCATGAAATGTTGTCCCTCTCAGATTTGTCCGAGCTGGGAAGGAGCCCTGGCTGTTTGTGAATTCCAGGCTGGTGCTGAGGGAAGAGGCAGGTTATTGTGCAGAGTAAATCTGTCACCCCAGTGCTTGCAGGTCTTGCTGAAGAGGAGCTGGTTGAAAACAGTGCTTGGAGTACCCCAAATAGGAGAAAGAAAGAGCCAATGGAAGCTCAAACTGTCATTTGTTAGAACAGGTACCCAGCAGTGCCATTCCAGGTTTGGGCGCTTTGTTTTCCTTACAGGAATCCCTAAAAGCAAGAAGGAGCATCCAGGAGGGAGGTGGGGGATCTTTGGGATGCCAGGCTGGATTTCTCAGACCCCAGGGCAGGGCTGAGCAGGCTGGCAGAGTTGTGACTCAGCCCCATCTGATGCTGCTGTGCCACCCTTGACGTGTGCCCTGTTTGCCACCTCATCCAGCGTGCTGCAGGAGCAGAGCCATGACTCCAGCAGGCTTTTCCTCTCCTCCTAATGAGCCCATTTGTTAGAGGTGTGACAGAATTTTTGACTGAGAGGAAGAAGGGTCATTTTTAAGGAGAAGATAAAATCTGAGGGCCTGGCAGTGTGTGTCACTGGGGGATAGCAAAGCATTTTGCAGGAGGAAGAAAGTCCCAAATCCTTGCTCAGGTGTTGCAGGAGTGATTTGCTGTGTTATCTCCGTTTCCAGCTGAATCTAGAAGTGGTTTCTAAACCTTTGGAGCTGTAAATTACTGAGGAGATAAAAATGTGTCAGTGCATCTCCATGGACCTTGCTGGAATGGCATCCTTGGGGTCACATTGGTCTTTGCTCAGGCTTTGGGGAGCTGTGGAGTGCAGGACTCTGCTGTCACACAGGCTCTTACATTGTCCCTGTTCACAGCTTGAACTTTATAAACCTGAATGAATGTTAAATAGCAGGCAGATGACTCCCAAGAGGCAGCTTAAAGTGACACAGCAGTGATAAAGCCTTGATTTTACCAAGTCTTGTCAGTAGACTTTGAAGGCAGGTGGTGTTTTGTCTCCTCTTTTAGGACTGCAAAGAATCCTGGAGGAACAATGGCTTTGAACTGAGGAGCAAATTGGGAATGGAGCAAGGAGAGTCCTTGTGCTCAGGACTCTGGGCTCAAGTGTTGCTCTGATTTTACGTCAGCATTGCAGAACATTGGCTGTAGTGACCCTTGTGTGGCCCAGAGTGATTAACTTGTGCTCTCTCCTCAGCAGTCCATGAACTCGAGTACCACAGCACTGCACACTGACCTGCCAAGCTACAACCTCATCAGTGAGAGCCTCTCCTTTGACTTCAAGGATACAGACATGAAGAGGCTGTCCATGGAAATCGAGAAGGAGAAGTATGTGGCACACATCCAATCCAGGCTGGGCTGGGATTTGTGCTGGACCTGAGCCAGGTGTGGCCAGGAAGGCCAAGGACAGCTGGGCTGTGTCACCCTGGGGTGGCAGCATTAGCAGGGCAGTGCCCGTGCCCTGAGCTGGCACTGCTGGGGCACCTCCAGGGCTGGGGCAGCTCTGGGACCCTCCTGACAGGAGAGACCTGGAGGGGCTGGAGCGTGTCCAGGGCACGGAACGGAGCTGGGAATGGGCTGGAGCCCCAGCAGAGGCTGAGAGAGCTGGGCAGGGGCTCAGCCTGGAGCAAAGGAGGCTCAGGGGGCCCTTGTGGCTCTGCACAGCTCCTGACAGGAGGGGACAGCCGGGGGGGTCGGGCTGTGCTCCAGGGAACAGGGACAGGAGCAGAGGAAGCAGCAGGGCAGGCTCAGGGTGGATTTTGGGCTAATTTCTTCCTGGAAAGAAGAAGCCCTGGCACAGCTGCCCAGAGCAGGGTTGGAGTCCCCATCCCTGGAGGGATTTAACAGCCATGTGGATGTGGCACTTGGGGACATGGGGCAGTGGTGGCCTTGGCAGTGCTGGGGAGTGGTTGGACTTGTTAACCCCAGAGGGCTTTTCCAACCTGAACAGCTCTGGGCTTGTCCTGGCTGAGCCTTTCCCTGGTGGGGACCTGGTGTCACCAACCTGCTCCCAGGTGAGCTCAGGGCCCTGCTCCAGGCAGTTCCTCTCCCTGTGGGAATCCTGGCCCTGCTCAGGCTGGCACTGCCCACGGTGCTGGAAAGAGTTAACAGCAGGCTGAGTGCTGGAGGCCTGAGCTTGAGGCTTTGCAGGTGTCCAGGGACCCTGGTGATAGCTGGGGTGTGTTAAGGTCCTGCTCGAGGGCTTTAACCCCTTTTCCTTGGCATTTGTGTCACGTTCCTGGATAAAAAGTGTTCGCCAGCAAGTTTGGATGTGATTATGAGCTTTGATCTTGTGTTTTCCTGAGGGTGTAAGTGTAGCCTTCGAAATTACCAATTGAGCAGAAATCAAAGCAGATCAGATTTTAATCTCTGTAGTAATGATGTGCTTTGTTCATCGATTGGGTCATAGATCAAAGCCACAATGGCTCTGTCATCCTGCTCTGGCCAAAACTTCCCGAGGCTGCCCTGACACCCCTGGATCCCAGAGGCTGCTTTGCTTTGCCTCTGCTCAGTGCCCTTTCCTGTGTATGAAATCACAGACCTAGAGACAGATTAAGAACTTCTGAAAACTTTTCCCAAAGCCAGAAGGAAAAAGATAGAAGCTGAAAATAACAGGATAATTCCTGGTTCTGTACCCAGGTTGCTATCTAGGTCATCCTGCTCTCCTGAGCTGGGAGAGCTGCCTCTGCCAAATGCTGAAAGCAATAGGATGCTTTTTCTGTCTTCTCTGGGGCTGTTCTCTTTCCGTGGGTGCTGGGATAAACCTCTTTACAAATTTTGGCACTGGAAAGGGTTCCTGTTACCCTGCTGGCCCTCTGACCTGGCTCAGGGGGTTAATCACAGCTACAAAACTCATGGGGTGATTTTTCTGGTTGATTTTTCTTTGTGAAGGCAGTTCAGGACGAGTCCTGGGAATGCTGGCTTTGGGGGTTGGTTTTTTTCCCTTTCTTGCTTTTTTTTGGGAGACTTTCTCTGTGCCAGGGGTGCTCTGTGTCTACAAGATCCCTGATATTTTGGGGACAGCACTTGCCTCCACACAGTTTATGAGCCAAATCCCTCTAAAACATGACAAGTCACTACATCAGGGTCCTTCTTCATGGAAAGATTTGTGGATTTGGGTTGTGGAGCAGCTTTGGGAAGGGGTGCAGGGGTGTAGAGCTCTCCTGAGTAGCTGTTTAAACCACTGTGTGGTGTAAACCTCTGTCAGCTTCACTTGCAAATAGGGAGGCTTAAAAATACCACCCAGCTTGGGTTTAATTTTGTATAATAATAATATAACTTACACTTTTATTGCTGGGTTGGCTGTCTGGGTCCCCTTTAATAAGGAACAAATAATTGCTCTGAGTAGCTCACTGTGTGCTATAAACTGATATCATCAGTTCCACACGCTAAAAATAATGAAGAAAAGCTGTTCCTGTTATAATTCTGTTATAATTCTGTTATCAGGTGTCACATCAGCAGGTGCAGCTGGTCAGTGCTAACCCAGGGCTGTTCTGTGTGTGTGTTTTAGGGTGGAGTACATGGAGAGGAGCAAGCACCTGCAGGAGCAGCTCAACGAGCTGAAGACAGAAATTGAGGCACTGAAGCTCAAGGAGAGGGAGACAGCTCTGGATATTTTGCACAACGAGAACTCCAGCCGGGGCAACAGCAAGCACAACACTATTAAAAAGGTATCAGAAGGCCCCAGTTTGTATCCCCCCTGATGAAACCCTTTAAAAAGAACCCTAAAATCGTCCTGCTTTTGATAATAAAATTGTTGGATCTAGGCTTTCTTCCCCAGCTGCTCAGCTTTGATCAGAGAATTGCAGCTTCTGGTGGTCCTGGTGTCCTGACCCAGCCTGGGCTCTCCAGGGCTGTGGGAAGGGATGTGAGGGTCTCCAGGGCTGAAGGTCTTTCTGAACCTTAAAAGCTGTACAAGGATGTTGCTGGAAGGGCTCTGCATCCCCAGTGAACAGGAAAAGCCCTCTCTGCCTGTTGCAGCTGTTCTGTATGAACACTGAGCTTGTCTGGTGAATAATGAGGGCACAAATACTCCTGGCTTAGGAGCTCTCAGTGGAAAAAGCCAAAAGCTCTTCCTCTCTTTTAATCTCTCTAGAGAAACCTGTAGTGCAGCTTCAGTCACTAACAGCAAAGCCTTTGCTGGCAGGGGGTGTGAGACCTCTGCTCCCTGGAGCCACCTGCCTCCTGCAGTGGGGCTGACCTGAGGAACTTCAGCCAAAAATTGAGCCAAAAATCTTCTACATCCCATCTTCTTCCTTTGCCTCAGTGCTGGGCTCTGTAACGAGGGGCTGGAGGCACATCCATGATGGATTTGGATGGTGGTGGTCAGCCCCACTCACCTGCAAAGGCTTTTTCCTTGCAAAGGCTTTTCCTGGCTGGCTTTCTGCTGGCAGCTGTCCTCGTGAAGGACTCGGAAATCCAGGCTGTGGTAACAACTGCAGGCTTGAAAAACAATTTCTACTCTCTTTACTACTCCCAGCCAGAAGTTATGTCTGAAAGGATTTGGGAATATCAGTTCTTGCCGACTTTGGTGGCTGGGAGTTTGTGATCACTGAATTGGGGCAGGAAAATGAATCTAGCGGGGCTCACTCGCCAGCTTCCCCGTGCTGGCCTGGAGCTATTCAGGTTCCTGTCACACTAGAGCAGAGAAAATAAAAATCTTCACAACCCCTTTTGTCATTGTAGAATCTGGAGGCGTTTCTGCTCCCAGTAGGTTTGGGAAGGATTTGTCTCTGTGTTCCAAGTCCTTGGTTTAAACAAAAACTGCTAAATTTTCACTTCTGACAGAGAGGAGTTCATAGAGAGCTGATGGTCCCATTTGTCTCCCTTAAAGAGGGTGGCTGGGCCATCATTACTGTGTCTGTCAGGGCTTGTCACAGTGCTGTCACTTTGCCTCCTTTGAAGATGGAGTCTTGTCCTGTCCCCTCCCTTCCGGAGGCAGCGGGGGCTGCCCGGCTGCTGCATCTCAGCACGGAGCAAAGGTTCCCAAATAATAGACTATTAGTGGAGACATCAGAGGGAAATTACAGCCTGCTCTGCTCAGGGAGGTCAGCAGGGCTTTTGTCTTAGCTGTGGTGAAGGCAAGGAAACACAGGGCACTGGGAATGGGATATCAGTCCAGCAATACTTCAATGGCACCAACCCTCTGCCTCACCTGGAAGCTGCTGGTTGCTCCAGGCAAGCCCTAAGATCCCACAGATCCCCTGCCCTCGTATCACACACACGGGGATTATTATTATTATTTGTTGTTCGTTTTATTTTGCTGGTTTAGCCTCAAGCCCAGGGCAGAAGACCTATCTGCATTTGAGAATTCCAAGTAGGTTATTCCAAGGTACTCTGCCTGGGGTGCTGGGGTCTGGCTGTGGCACTAACCCGTGCATGAGCTTGCCTGCGCTCCAGCGGCACCGGCTGCCCGTGGTCACCCGTCCAGCCTGGCTCTCCCTCCCTCAGGAGCACTCCCAGCCTCTCTGCACTTGTTCCTACACCTGGTCCTCCGTGCTGGGAAGCTTTCTTGGCAGAAATTGTGTTGGCAACCTCAGAGGGGGAGTTCAGGTAGAGGCACTTTAATAATTCAGCGCGCCTGTTTTTGCACCGGTGGTTGGGAATCTATCGGAGGTGCAGGGCAGCCTTTGAAGATTGCTTTAATGAAGTAAACCAGCACCTTCCCGCCTTGTTTGTTGCAGAAAGAAATTCAGGATGTAAAAAAAAATACCCCAAACAAACAGCTAAACGCAATAATCTCTGTTTCCAACGCTGTCAAAACGGGCTAAAAATGCACAGCTCCGTCTCGGAGCCGAGCAGCACGAGGATGCTCTGCCTGTTGGGGAAGCATCCCAGGAAGGTAAAGCAGAGGATTGAGGACAACTGGTGTCTGCAGGTGGCTCTGTGCCAGGGGAAGGTCACCAGCACACCTGGGGACAGGAGTTGTCCTTCTCCCTGCACTGCCTCTGCCTGTCCCTCACCACCTCCTGCCCAGGGAGTCCTGCTCTGTTAATGCCACGTCTCTTATTCCTGGAGCCTGCTTTCCTCCAAGGATTTGCCCTCAGTCTGCAGGCTGGATGTGCTGAGCATCCACTCCCTCCTTCGGGAGGATGAGTTTGGGGAAGCTTTCCTGCTCTGCCCTGGGGCAAAGTTCTTGCACAGCCACAGGGTTTTGGGAGCTTGGAGTCGGTGGCACTCAGGGAAGTACTGGGATACCACACTCAGATGGCAGAGCTGGTGGGAAATGCTTTTGGAAAAGATTGAGCAATTCCCCAGCACCTCTGGAGCTCGGGAGCAGAGGCAGGAGGTTGTTTTACCCAGGAGAACTCAGCACAAGGCTGTGCTGTTCTTCACTGCACCAGCCATTCCAGAGGCTGTAAATCCCTGGAGTTTGGGGTTTGTGCCAGCTCTGAGGAGCTGCAGGTGTTCCCAAAACAGGCTGCTCTCATTGTTGAACAGTTCCATGGGGAAGAGGCTAAAAGGGGTGACCCTGCAGGTCTGGGCCAGTCTGGGGGAGGTGTTGGATATTTCCACACAGACTGGCTGTGGATGAAACACGTTATCCCATCCCACCTGGCTTGAAGAGCTCTGTGAAATTTGGGGTGAAATCCGCTTGTGGCCACAGCACAAGGAGGTGAAATGAAGCCCTGGCAGTTTGTAGGAAGACTCTGCCAGCAGCTGGGAGAGCTGCAGTGCCCAGGAGGAGCCCCCATAATTAAAGCATCTGCACAGTGAGCGCTGCAGTGTGACCTCTGGGGTTTGGCGCCTGCCTTTGAAGGCGCCTGCGAAGTTTTTCATGTTTAATTACGTGGTTAACATGCTAATCCCTTTTTATGAGCTCTGTGGGCACAGCACAGACACCTCATCTGGAAGCTGCTCTCCCTTCTCCGTAGCTCCCTGCCGTGGGCTGGTGCTGTGGCTCCAGCTGGCTCCGATTCAGGAGGGTTTGTCACTTAGTCTGTGCTAAAGGGTGAAAAACCCACTTCTTCCTCATCTCCTCCGCTGCAGGAAAGCTCCCAGGACAGGCTGCTAAAACACAATCAGGTCTTTGATTCCACTTGCTTTCTTCTTGCACAGTCATGCTTATTTACTGGGATTTAAGCCCTTTGAAGTATCCAGGCAAGGAGCAAATCTCCACGCCTGTTCCCAGACAAGCAGCTTTGTGCTTGAGCCTCTGGTCCTTCCACAGGCAGCCTCAGCCTCTCCTGCCAGGCTCTCACGTGGCTGAGAGCAGCTTCTCCAGGGCTTCAGCTCAATCCCAGAGCATCACTTTTGGGGCCCTGGGGATCCTGCTGGCTCCTTCCCTGGCTCTGATCCTGGATGCAGTGCAGTGTTGCCCTTGGCTTGGATAATGATCATTGTGGAGACACTTGGAGATCTGAGCTGGGGTGTTCAGGCTGGAGAGAGATGGCTCTAAGGTCCCCCTCCTAGTGCCTAAAGGAGAGTTGGAGAGGGACTGGGGACAAGGGATGGAGGGACAGGACACAGGGAATGGCTCCCAGTGCCAGAGGGCAGGGATGGATGGGATATTGGGAATTAGGAATTGTTCCCTGGCAGGGTGGGCAGGCCCTGGCACAGGGTGCCCAGAGCAGCTGGGGCTGCCCCTGGATCCCTGGCAGTGCCCAAGGCCAGGCTGGACACTGGGGCTGGGAGCAGCCTGGTATAATCTAAGGTGTCCCTACCCATAGCAGGGAGTGGGACTGGATGAGTTTTAAGGTCCCCTTTGGATTTAGCCAATGAACAGTTCCCAGCTGGAAGCACAGAAGGGTGAGTGGGGCAGAGCCACAGGGATTTCTGCAGCCTTGCCTTCCCTCCTGCCACCTTTGGGATTGGCTGTGGTCTGTCCTTGTGAGGACACTGGTGGCTGGTGATGGCACTGCTGCCTGAGTGTCTCATCATGCAGACAGTGTGTGCCACCCCCACATGTCACAAGGCTCCTTCATCATCTGGACAGGTGGAAGGATTTTGGGAGGCTGGCACTGGGGCAGAAGTTTTCTCTATTTTCCACCTGCACCGGGTGAGCAGTGTGCTAGGGATCAATGAAACGTGTCCCTTGAGGACTTCACAATTCCTGTGGGGTCCCTGTCACCTCCTGGCCACTCCCTTCCTCATCTCTCCCTTCTGGAGCTGCAGATTCCCTGGATCAGGTCTGTTCTGCCCCAGTAGGTTGCTGGGAGAAGGAGGATGTGCCCCTTGCAGAGAGCAGGGACCAGCACAAGGAATGCTCTGGGCAGGACAAGAGGAGGGAGCCTGGTGGGACACAGCTGCCATCCTTCCCTGTGGATGTGGGACAGGGATGAGGCTCCTCAGTCTCCTGCAGGGCTGTGTGACCCAACCCCAGCTGGAAAGGGAAGGCAGAACAGGCACACCACCAGCAAGGGACTTCCCAGGAGCAGCAGTGCCGGCGTTTCCCATTTCCTTGAGAGCTGTGAAGTTGGAAAGGACGAATGAGGCTGCCAGCTTCTCACTCAGCCTGGCACCTGGCTGGGTGCAGGTGGGAGCCAGGAGACACCCAGTGGGCAGAGCAGCTCTGGGATACACATTTTCCAAATGCAGAAGGAGACAGAGGCTCATCCCACGTGGCTCTTGCCCAGACACCCCCACGTGTGCCAGACCACATCCCTTCCAGGCTCCTTTTCCTCCCAGTTCTCCTCGGAGCTGGGAAGTGAAACTCCCAGGCAGTTAAACTGGGACACAGCAGCCTCTTTTCCTTGTTTACAAGGAGCAAGAGGAAAGTAGGAAACGTCAGGCCTATCAGCTATTTCTGTGGCAGCCTTTGAAAAGCGTTTCCTTCACATGGAGCGTCATCTTCTCCTTTCAAATGGGCTCATCAAAGCGTCGGGGGCTGGGGGACAGTTGTGCTCGGGAGAGAATAAACGGCAGCGTGGGAGGCAGAGAGGAGAGGGAGGGAAATGGGAAGAATCACAGGAAAACAGGCTTTGGGTTCAAAAGTGACACAGTGGGAATTGAGAGGTCCACCTGGCCGGTGGGGCTGGGGAGTGGGCAGGGATGGGGACAGGCACCAGTGGGGAATAAAGAGGATTTAGTGTGTGGAGCACTGGGTGGTGATTAGCAAGGACTGTAGATCTTCACAGCAGCAGGAAAAAAACATCTTGGCATCACACAGGGTGAGGGTGGCACAGGTCCCCCTCTCCTCCAGCCTGGCCATACTGCAGGGTAAACAAGGAAATGAGACATCTGAAACCTCTCCCTGCTGGGGGAAACCTGGGGGCTGGTTGGTGTGAGTTGCAGCCCCTCCCTGTTGCCCCACTCTGGGGGCTCACAGGGGCCTTGGGGGTTTCCCTGGGTTGGGTTTGCTGTGCCTGCAGTTATTGGGTTACCTGCTCCAACCTCCCTGTGCCTGCCAGCCACTTACTGGGCTGCTTTGGTTTGTTTGTGTTGCCTAAATCAAATCAGCCCAGCAGCCCTGGGGAGCAGCAGGCTCAGAGGAGCCCCAGTGCAGGAATGCAGGGAGCAGGACTCTTCCCTCTCTCCCCTTCCTGAGATCTTGATTCATTCTGAGCTCAGGCCGCTTAATTGCGCTGCCTCTCTCTCCCTCTAAATTTTCCTTGATGGCTCTGGTAGAGCACGGGGAGCCCACCCTCCCTCCTGCAGGAAGGAGATTATCATAATACTGCTTGTAAATCAATTTTTTTTTTCCTTTTCTCCGCACTGACGAGGATGTAACTCCCTCTTAATCACCCTGCACAGCGTTACGCTACGGGGAGGGATATTTATTTCTGCTCGCCTGGCCAGAAGGGGATGTGGAGACTGCAGAGAGATTTTGGAGGTGTTGGAGGCTTGCCCCCCAACAGATGATGGAGAGGCCAGCACAGGGTGGTGCTCTCCCCTTTGCTTTCACATCCCAGTGCAGAAAAGAAAGGAAGAGCAGTTGAGGGAGTGGGGTTTCACTGCAGAGAGCTCCCTGTGCCCACTGGCTCCTCCTGCCCCCAAGGCACTCCCTGGGATGAGTCAGGATGGCCCCAGAGCTCCCCCAGTGCATCCCTGGGACTGGTGTGTGTGGTGCTCCCAAGGATAGCCCTGCCTGTGCTCCACAGTGAGGCAAACAGCAACAGAAGAGGGAAAAAGGGCTGGGGGGAGTTTTCCCCCCTGGCATGGGGAGTGGAGAGTCAGGGAGTAGTAAAGAGCAGCCCTGGTTTCCTCTCAGGTGGTTCTGGAGTAGTCAGATGCGAGGAGGCAGCTGCCTGGAGCTGCTGGGCAGCCCTGATCCTGGTCCTGGTCCTGGTCCTCATTGGAAGGGACCTTGAAACCTGTCCTGTCCCACCCCTGCCATGGCAGGGACACCTTCCACTGTCCCAGGTTGCTCCAAGCGCCATCCTTGGGCACTGCCAGGGATCCAGGGGCACCCCAGCTGCTCTGGACACCCTGCCAGGAGGAATCCCTGTGGTGTTTTCCTTTCAGGTGGCAAAATCTGGGCACTGCTGGGAGCCAGTGACCCACAGGGCACAGCCCTCTTGGGAACTCTGTGCTCCCTCCTCTCCATGGGGTCCCATCTCCTCCAGACCCACCTTTGCTCTGGCTCCCTGTGTGGCTGCTCTTCCCATGCCTCACATTCCCTGGATGGGTTAAAAAGGTTCCACTGAGGCTCTCTAGGAGCCTTTGGATGTTGTGGATGAGAGCATCCAGCCAAGGAGCAGGGCTGCATCTCTCCCTGCCCCCTGTGCCCGTGCTGGATGCTCCAGAGCTCTGCTGGAGCTCTGCCTCCTCCTGCTTCCCAAACCTCCAGCCTGAGGCAGGCACAGCTTTGGGCTCAGGCCGCCCTTGGGGGTACCCCAGGACCCCCAAAACATGTGGGGGGTTAATGGAGAGCAGTGTGCAGCTTCAGCAGAGAGCCAGGCTTGGAACAGTTGGATTCCTTGGTAAGCCTGAGGGGAACATCCTCCTGTGCTCCATCAGCAGCTGCAGCTTTGCCAGGGTGATCCACAGGGAACTCCCCTTGCTGTGCTGGGAAGGAGGGAGCTCCTGTGGGCTGGGGGGGTGCCAGGCTCTGGTTCCCCAGCCAGGCTGCAGAGGGGATGGATTTGGAGGCAGGTAGATAATGGAATCATGGAATAGTTTGTGTTGAGAGGGTCCATCAAGCTCATCTCATCCCACCCCTGCCATGGCAGGGACACCTCCCACTGTCCCAGGCTGCTCCCACTGTCCAGCCTGGCCTTGGGCACTGCCAGGGATCCAGGGTGGGCACCCTGTGCCAGGGCCTGCCCACCCTGCCAGGGAACAATTCCCAATTCCCAATATCCCATCCATGCCTGCCCTCTGGCACTGGGAGCCATTCCCTGTGTCCTGTCCCTCCATCCCTTGTCCCCAGTCCCTCTCCAGCTCTCCTGGAGCCCCTTTAGGCCCTGGAACACTTCCAGGAATGGGGTTCCTGTCAGGTGGCCCCAGCAGTGGGTCTGGCAGCAGCCTGGGCCTCTCTGCTCCTTTTTATTTTCCCTGTCCAGCCTTAGAGAGGAAAACCACAGCCTGTGTCACACAGAATCCCTGTCCCACCTCACCCACCTTCCAGCCAGGGGGATGCTGAGGACGAGCAGAGTCAGCCCTGGCCTGGAAGCTGCTGCCAAAAAAGATTATTAAGCCCCTGTAGAAATTTCCTCTGCAATACAGATTTTTTTTTTCTGACTGGCATTAGAGCTGAGAGGGAATTACTGAGGAAAAGCCATGGGGGAGAAGCAGGGAGGGGGGGAAAGCGCCTGACTGCTCCATTGAGGGGTTTAGCTCACTGTAAGGTGATCCCAGGGCTCCTGTTCCAGCAAAACCGGCATTCCCAGGAAGGCACCGTGCTTAATCCAGCTGAAACAGAGCCCTGGCAATCAGCCCGTGCTCTGGCAAACTCCTGGTGATCCAGCAGCTGCTGGAAGGTGGCACTTGTGCTGCTGCACTCTGTTGGGTGGCTGCCTGTAAATCCTGGGATTTCTTCCCCACCACTGAGGATTCTTTTATCTTCTTTGGCCCCTCAGCAAGTGGGCTCAGGCTGCACTTGGGGTATTGTTTGTGGGATGGCTGTGGAAGGGTTCCCAAGGGTTCCCAAGGGTTCCCAAGGGTTCCCAAAGGTTCCCAAGGGTTCCCAGGGGTTCCCAAGAGTTTCCAAGGGTTCCCAAAGGTTCCCAAGGATTTCCAAGGGTTCCCAAAGGTTCCCAAGGGTTTCCAAGGGTTCCCAAGGGTTTCCAAGGGTTCCCAAGGGTTCCCAAAGGTTCCCAAGGGTTTCCAAGGGTTCCCAAGGGTTCCCAAGAGTTTCCAAGGGTTCCCAAAGGTTCCCAAGGGTTCCCAAGGGTTTCCAAGGGTTCCCAAGGGTTCCCAAAGGTTCCCAAGGGTTCCCAAGGTTTCCAAGTGTTCCCAAAGGTTCCCAAGGGTTTCCAAGGTTCCCAAGTGTTCCCAAGGGCTTCAAAGGGTTTCTGAGTCCTGCAGAGCCTGCAAGGACAGCCCTGGCAGCGAGGGCTCTCCAGCTCTGTCCTGTGGCAGGATGGATGGATGGGGTGGGATGGGATGAGATCCCAGGGTGGCTGCATGGATCACAGGTGGTGGGATGGGGCTGGATGTGAGCATGGAGAGGATGGGCCCTGTTTGGGGACAGAGGGGACACGTGTCTGGTGGCTCTCAGAGTTGTGGGTTCTCCCCCAGCACACTGAGTTGTTTCTCCTCCAGCTTCCCAAGATCCCTCGATGTTCTCCTTGTCAGGGCCCAGGACTGGCTCCTTGGATCAGCCTCCCCTGTATTCCATTCCTGGAAGCCTCAGCCGTGCCAGTGACCTTGGTGGAATCTCTGTCCCCGCTTTCCCTCGGGCTGTGCTTGCTGTGGTGGGGGCTGCACGACCCCCGGCTTCTGCACCCCCGGGCTTCCACATTCCCGGTGTTTCCCGAAGGATCCGGGCACAGCTCCCTGCCGGGAGCGCTGTGGGAGCTGGGGCTGCCCCCTGATCGCGCTCTGCTCTCTTGCAGCTCACCCTGCAGAGCACCAAGTCCCGTGTGGCGTTCTTCGAGGAGCTCTAGGGAGGAGCCGCTCGGTGTCGCCGCTGCTCCGCCCGCCGGGGCCCGACCGGAGCCGGGATCGCCCCGGAGCCGCCGCCGCTGCGGCCCCTGCGCACCCACGGACTCGGGGCCGGCTGCCCACGGACTCTGTGATGTTCTCTAGCTTTGCAGCCGTTCATCCTCCTCCTGACACTTTGTTTTCCTGGGTTTTCCAGCTTTTTTTTCCTTGTTTTTCTAGCATTGCTTCCAGGCTCGGCCCTCCAGGCTTTTCCCTGGAGCCGGGGTCGGGGCGGTGGCCGTGCCTGCCCACCCTGGCAGCCGGCAGAGAGTGTGCCCGAGGGTCTCCCTGGGAGGGGTGGGCACCCCTCGGGGTTGGCTTCTCTGGGCTCTGGAGCTCGCTGTGCCAGCCCGGAGCCCCTGGGGCCGGTCTGGAGTCCCACGGGCCGGCCCTGGAGCCCCGCACGGAGCCGGGAGCTCCATTAGGATCCCGAGCATGTTCCAGTGGAGTGCTGTAAATCAGGAACGCCGCGCTGGCTCTCCCAGCGCCCGCTGGCGTGGGAGAGGAGCAGGGAGCGGGAGGAGCGGGACCTGGGGCTGGGGGGATGCTGGGCTGCTCCCCTGGGGAGAGGAGGTGGGAGGAAGGGCTCCTCCTCCTCCTCCTCCTCCCTGCTGGGAGCAGGGAGCGGGAGAACAGCTAGTGCCAACCAAATGAAACCTTACTGTTCCTGCAAACTGTGACAAACCCGGGCAGCTCCAGGCTGGGGGATCCCGGGGCTCCGGGCCGGGCTCTCCGTGGCTCCCGGGGTGTCCCAGCCCCTCGGAGCCCCCGGGAGTGCCGCTGTCCCGAGCTGGGCCCGGGCTGCCTGTCCCGCCTGTCCCATCGCGGGTGCCTTGCTCTGACCCCCATGGGGGGAACAGGGATGCCTTGACCTTCCCTGCCTGTCTCCGTCCCCAACCCTGGGCCCCTCCCGGCTGGAATCCTCTTCCGGAGCCGGTGCTGCCCCGGGGATCCCTCACATCCCCTCGGGACCCCCAATTCCTCCTCCCCACAGCCCCCCAGAGGCTCGGTGTGGAGTAACCCCCGTCCCAGCGCTGTTTATTTAACCCCGGGATCGTTCCCCGCACGTGGCTGCAGCTCGGATGGCTGTGGCCTGGCACAGCCGCTTTCCCATTCCCTGGACTGTTGTACTCCGAAGGAATAACTGTTTTCTCCTGTTTTAATAAAAATTCACAGCACTACGAGGGGAGCCGAAGCTTCTTTGCTGTTTTTTTTCTTTGGGAAAAGCCGCTGGGAGCGCGGCTGCCGCAGTTGGCGGTGCCGGGATTAACGGGAGCGCGGCTGCAGTGCCGGGGTCCCTCCGGGGCTCCCGCGGCACCGGGAGCGCTCCAGGCCCCGCTGGCCCCGCTCCCCCGGGGCTCTTTGTGCCCCTCCGTGAGGGAAGAGGGGCGTGGGGTGCCCAGAGGGGCTGTTTGCCATCCCTGATCCCGTCCTGCCTGCAATAAATAAACGATGTGCTGCATTGACCTCAATTTTCTAATTAATCACGGATGGAACCGGCCCAGCCCAGCGAGCCCCGAGCCCCGGGGCTGTTCCCGGCCCGGTGCATTCGCTTTTCCTCCGCCCTCCGGCAGCGAAACCCGGGCCATTCACGGAGCTCTCACCAGGGCTCGGCCCGCGGGTGGGCTGCGGGATCTTTTGGGGTTTTTGCTGTTTTAAGCAGGGCCGAGGGGTGGGTGGGGTTTGTTTTGGCAAGGGGATGGCGGGGGGATACCCGAGGGGGTCTGGGGAGGCTGAGGGCAGCCAGGGAGGGATGGGCAGGGTGACCTGGCTTCCCAAATCCCTCCAGTGACAGGAATTCAACTGGTGTGACACCTGCACCGCCTGCAGCCTGAAATGGATCCAGGGGAGATTTACCCAGCACAGGGCAGGGGGATAAACCGGGAATGCACAGGGGATGGATGGGATGGGATGGGATGGGATGGGATGGGATGGGATGGGATGGAATGGAATGGAATGAGATGGAATGGAATGGAATGGAATGGAATGGAATGTGCAGGGATGGATGCAGAGGGATGGATGTGCTGGGATGGATGAGCAGGGATGGATTTGTAGGGATGGATGTGCAGGGATGGGATGGATGTGAAGGGATGGATATGAAGGGATGGATTTGTAGAGATGGATGTGTAGAGTTGGGATAGGATGTGCAGGGATGGGATGTGCTGGGATGGGATGAGCAGGGATGGATTTGTAGGGATGGATGCACTGAGGATGCGCTGGGTGGAGCCAGGGATGGATCCAGCCTAGATCTCCATCTGTCACAAGGGTCCCTGTTTCTCCCATGGGCTCTGCACAAAGCCCTGCACACTCCAGCCCTGCACACCCCCAGCCTTGCACACTCCCAGCCCTGCACACTCCAGCCCTGCACTCTCAGGATTTTGCACTCTCAGGGTTTTGCACACCCCCAGTGTTGCCTCTCCTGCTCCCAGCCCGGCGTCTCCTCCCTGCCCGCCCTCCCTGGCACATCCCAGACCGTTTCTCTCCTGCCAAAGGAAGTTTCACCCTGATTTTTTCCCATTTTAGCAAACTGAGCTCAACAGGAGCTGTGGGTGTGGGTTGGTGTGAGCTGCCTTTGCTCAAGGAGAAGAAACCAACAAAAAGCCTTTGCCAGGTACCTCTCCCAGCCCCTTCCCCAGCCATGGGTTCCTGAGGAAGGAAATTGGGGATTTGGCCAATCCCAGGCAGCCCCTGAGTGCTTTGGCAGCAGCTCTTCACTTTGGGCTCCCAAAGTCTCCTCAACTCACATTATTGCACTTCCAAACCATTAAATACTCTCAAAAATAGGTTAAAATGTCGAGAGTTGGGGATGAAAGGGACAGAGGGGACACAGGGTGACCTGTGGGTGGCAAGTTCCAGAGTTAGCAGCCCTGGAGGGGCATCAGGGAGCTGGTTCAGAGCCCACCCAAAACATGCACAGCTGGGCCAGGAACTCCTTCAGGAAAAGAGCTGAGAATGGGCAGAGGGGATGGATGGGGAAACTGAGGCAGGGGTGGCTCTGGCCTGGCTGTGCAGCCCAGAGGCTGCTGCTCTGTCCCTCTGCATCCTGGGGGGCCTTGGGGGACAAGGCAGGGGTCACTGTGGGCACAGGGGGACACGGGGACACAGGCAGGGCTGGGGGCTCCTGCATGTGTGGGGGGTGTGTGCGTGAGGGAAGGGTGTGAGCACGAGGGCACAGTGTGGCACGGTGGCACCCAGCCATGGCCAGGACAGGCTGGAGGGAGCTGGGGGGACCAGGGCACCCCAGGGCTGCAGGTGGCTCTGCAGGGTCACACTGTGCCCACCCCATCCCGGTGGGAATTGGGGGAGCAGCCCATGGGACACCCCAGCCCTGCCCACAGGCACCTCAGGGTGCTCAGGGCACCCAGAGCTCCGGGCAGCTGAGGAGGTAAAACACTGATCCCAGGCGTCACAGCCAGCTGGATCCTGCTCTTTTCCTGAGGACATGGGGACCTCATTCCCTCTTGACTGCCACCTGCCAGCCTGGTGCTGTCCCTGCCATGCCCATCTATCCATCCATCATCCATCCATCCATCCATCCATCCATCCATCCATCCATCATCCATCCATCCATCCATCCATCCATCCATCCATCCATCATCCATCCATCCATCCATCCATCCATCCATCCATCCATCATCCATCCATCATCCATCCATCCATCCATCCATCCATCATCCATCCATCCATCCATCATCCATTCATCCATCCATCCATCCATCATCCATCCATCCATCCATCCATCCATCCGTCATCCATCCATCCATCATCCATCCATCCATCCATCCATCCATCCATCCATCCAGATGTTGTGTAACCAAACGGATGTGGAGCTGCTCCAGCTGCCAGCGAGCAGAGGGTGAATCCCTGGAGCCGTGTGGGGTTTTGGGTGAGGTGTGATGGGTGTGGGATCATGTTGGGCTGCAGGACCAGGCAGGGGCTGCCATCCCTGCCCTGGGGTCAGATCCGGAGCAGGAATGAATCTGGAGCAGGAATCCCACTGCCATCCCCCTCTGCTCGGCCACAGGGACACTGGGCATTGTGACAGCCCGGCAGGGATGTCCCTGCTGCCCCTTTCTGGCCATCCTGGCACTGGGCACCACCAGGTTCTGGCACCACAGGGCATCCCACTGCAACAGGTCACAGCATCCTGGAGAGATGGAGCTGATGTGGCTCTGCACCAGCAGCGCGATGGGAGCAGAGCCAGGCTTGATGTCCCGGAGGCAAAATTCCCTCCAGGAGCCGCCACCTTCCCTTCTGAAAACGCCACATCCCTCCCCGTGCTCTCCAGCACAGCGATTCTGCTGCTGTAAATGAGCTCGAGGGTCTCTGGCTGAGATCTCTGCGCGTTGTTTCTTGCTCCATCTCCTGGCAGGAGCAGGCGGAGCCGCCGCTGCCCTCGGCATCCCCGGCTGCATCCCCTAAGAGCAGCCTCATCTCGGTTCTTGCCATTTTTCCATAAAGAACAATTCCCCCTAAGCAGAATTCTCACCTCCTCCCCTGGCAGGGCTATTTCCCCCTTCAGAACCCAAATCCAGCAGAGCTCTCAGAGCTTTCCCCATTCCCCCGTCCCTCCCTGCCCGCAGCCGTGCCCGGTGTTTCCCGTCACGGGTGGGATTCGCTCCTGACCCTCCCCGGGCTCTCCCCGCCGCATTCCCGGGTTTGCAGCGGGCACCGGGAGCTGGCAGCCGCCGGCCGGGGTAACCTTGTGGCTCGGAACATTGCAGCCATCGCTCTTCTCCCATCAAGCGTTCATTTAGGAAACATTTCACTAAATGCCCACCTGACAGCACGGCCCCGGGAGATTGATGGCTCCGGCGCCTCTGAGGGCTCGGTGCCAGTGACTTTAAAATGTCACAGCGACGCCCCCGGGGCGCTCCCGTCCCCTCCGGTGCCCGGGGCTGTGCTGGGAGTGTCCGGAGGGCGCTGTGGGGCCGATCCCCATCCCAGCCCCCTCAGGCTGCCAGGAGGTCCCTGGGGTTGTCCTGAGGGGTTTGAGAGCACCCAGCACAGGTTTGTCCCATCCCCAGCCATTTCCTCATCCCTGACAGCTCTCCCATGGCTTTGGGACATCCCCATCTCCAATTCCATCCCCATCCTATCTCCATCCACATCCATCCCCTTCCCCACTCCTGTGAGGGATCCCTATCCCATCCTCATCCCCATTTCACTCCATCCCATTTCCAACCGTGTCCCCATCCTCATCCCACCTCTATCCCTGTCCCTAAGCCAATCCCATCCTCATCATTACCTTATGCCCATCCTCATCTCCACCTCACTCCATCCCATCCCCATCCCCATCCCCATCCCCATCCCCATCCCCATCCCCATCCCCATCCCCATCCCTATCCCTATCCCTATCCCTATCCCTATCCCTATCCCTATCCCATCCCAATCCTCATCCTCCTCCCATTCTCATCTTCATCTTCATCCCACCCCCTTCCTCATCCCCTTCTCATCCCATCCTATCCCACCTCATCCACAATTCATTCCAATCCTCATCCGCACGCCATCCAATCTCCATCCCATCCCATCTCCATCCCATCCCATCCCACAGATCCCATCCCATCCTATCCCACCCCATCCCTTCCCATTCTGTGCCATCCTCTCATTCCATCCCTGCTATTCTTTCTCTTCCCATCCCATCCCATCCCTCAGGGCAGGAAGGAGCTCAGCAGTCTCGGCAGAGCCAGAAGGGCCCCTCGGCTGCCACGGGAGGGGTAAACAGGGAGCAGATTAATTAAAGCTCAATCAGTGCCATCCCTGAGCCAGAGCCTCTTCAGCCCTTCTCCTTTCCATCCCCTCAAACTCCTGGAAGAAGGAAGGATGTGATGTTGGGATGTGAACCCAGAGCGAGGGCCCTTGACAGATTGCTCTGAAGCTGCAAATGAACACAGGCCTGGATCGAGCTCCTCCAGCCTCATTAGTGGGATCAGCTAATTAGGAAAACAGTTGGGAATGTTGGGAAAGTGCTGCTGTGTCCAGAGGGACAAAGGGACAGAGGGGAGAGGTGGCATTGACCTGCTGGCATGGCTGGCCCTGGCCCGGGGTGAGATAAGGGGGAATTGTGGAGAGGAACATCCCAACATCCCAGCAGTGACATCCCTGGGATGCCGCTGCCTCCACCCCATCGGACTGAGCTCTGAGCAAACCCCAGAGCTTCTCCCCACAGAATCGGCGGGGGAATCCGGGCAGGGACCCGGGGCAGAGCAGGGGGAGCCAGCCCGGCTCGTCCCAGCCTTCATCCCTGAGGAAGAAGCAGCGCGGCTGAGCCGGGCTCCGGGAAAGCTCGGGAGCCTCCAGCGGGAATCCCCGATGAACAAAAACCCTGTCAGGGCTTCAAATGCAATTAAGGCACTGAATTTTCCTCCCTTCTCCCCCGCCCTGCGTCTCCTGCCCACCCCCGTCCCCGTCCCCATCCCCGGGGAGCAGCGGCGGCCCCGGCCCTGGGGAAGGCGGCTCCGCCTCGGCCCCGCCGCTGCTCCGGGAGCTCCGCTGGGAATTGCAGGGAAAAGCCCCGAAATTGGCCCTGATATCCCTGCTGGGATTTGGGTGGTGACAAATTAATGAGTTTCCACCCCAGAGCCTCTGGAGAATTAATTGGGAGGGAGATTCGTTAACATCGAGGAGCAAATTGATCTGTTAAAAAAAAACCGCGAAGGGAGGAGATTTTCAATCAGGCTTTGCTTTTCTTTTGGGGGGGTTGTTTCTCCCAAAAAGCCACTTGTTATTATCGGCACTTTCCCCTTCCAGTGCTGGGATCTCAGCCGCAGAATGTGACACTGTGGGGCACAGATCCACAGGGTGCCCCAAACCCATCCCGAGCTCCAGGGCAGGAGGGAATTTCAGCAGAGTTGGAAAAATCCACCCCCAAGCCACGATTCCCCGGGAGGAGAGATCCTGCCCAGGGAGCTGAGAGCCCCCAGCCTCGGGAATCGCTCAGCCCCGAAATCCCCTCTCCGGCCGGGCTGGTTCGCTGCTGCCCGAGAGGGAAATTTCTCCCAGCCATAAAACGGCTTAAAGGGGACCCCAGCTGGCTGCGGGAGGCAGCGCCGGGCTCGGGGGGCTCGGGGCCGGTCCGGGGCTCGGGGGGAGGGAGGGATGGGCACAAGGAGGGAGGGATGGAGGGATGGGCACACGGGAGGCCGGAGCAGCCCCGAAATTGCCGGCAGAGAGAATTGGGTGAGGCTGAGCACGTGTCCCTGCAGGAGACAGGGGGGGCTCGCTGGAGCAGCTGTTGGAGCAGCAGGAATCCTGGTCCGAGATTTTTGGGGTTCTTGTGGCAGTGCCAAGATGAGAGGCACATCTGGAGCCTGTCCAGCCGTGCCTCAGTTTCCCCGTGGCTCTGACGCATCCTGGGGGGCCGGTGAGGATCTGGGAGGTGCCAACTGTTCCACTTTTGTCTCTCCCACCCCGTTCCAGCGCTGGGAATCGCGTCCTTCCAACCTCCAGGCCCTTCCCTCCCTCCGAATGTGCGGAGCTGGAGCCTTGGCAGCCTCCCTGTGCCACTGTCCCCAGCTCCAGAGCTGCCCCCTAGGCACGGGGGACGCTGTGTCACCCAATTCCAGTGACCGGGGCTGCTGGGACAGCCCAGCCCAGGGAAGGGCGACAGGGGGACTTGGGAGGGAAGGTGTGCCCGCTCCTGGGGACATCCTTGCCGTGTGCCTGAGAGCAGGGGTGGCACAGGGGTGGCACAGGGATGGCACAGGAATGGCATAGGGGATGGCATAGAGATGGCACAGGGGTGGCACAGGGATGGAACAGGGGTGGCACAGGGATGGATGGCACAGGGGTGGCACAGGGGATGGCACAGGGATGGATGGCACAGGGATAGAACAGGGATGGCACAGGGATGGCACAGGGGTGGCACAGGGGATGGATGGCACAAGGGTGTCACAGGGATGGCACAGGGGTGTCACAGGGATGGCACAGGGATAGAACAGGGGTGTCACAGGGGATGGCACAGGGATGGCACAAGGGTGTCACAGGGATGGCACAGGGGTGTCACAGGGATGGCACAGGGACACAGATGCTGTGTGGACATGGCACGATGGGGACCTGCCCTGGCGCAGGAGCCCAGCTGTGATTAATCAATGTCCAAGTGAGAAAGAAGGTGAAAAATGTGACCAGGGCTGGAGACAAGCGGGAGGTCGCTGGAGCAGGTGACAGGGACGGAGGGCTTTGCTGCTGGCCCTGTTTCCTGCCTCTCCCAGGGCTCATTATTTCCCTGCTGTGGGAGCAGGAGGTCTGGCCCTGGGGTCTGGCCCTGGGGTCTGGCCCTGGGGTCCCTGTCACCCCTCAGCACCCCGGGGACCTGGGGGTGACGGCCAGCCCAGGGTGGCACATCCAGGGGCTCTGGGGTGGTGGCAGCCTGGGGTGCCGGGTGTGGGGACACAGGGGTGACAAGCGCCATGGGGTGCCACGTGCAGGGACCTGGGGGTGACGATGTCTGAGTTTGGGGTGCCACATGCAGGTGATGGCTTCTCGGGATGGTGACGGTCCCGGGTGCTGCGGGGACCCTGGGACAGTGACTGCCCCCCGAGCAGGGTGCCCTGGGGGTGGTGGCAGCCCGGGGTGCCGGCACCTGGCGGTGACAACTCCCTGGGCACGGCTGCGTGTGGGGACCCCGGGGCGGCCCCTGCCGGGACAGGGGGTGCCACAGGGACCCCCAGCCCCCCGAGCACCCCCCGGCATCTCCCACCGCCCCTCGCTGCGGCCCGGGACGCTCCCCCCGCACTGCCCCCCCCGCCGCCCCCCCGGGCAGGCCCCACCTCCCCCCCGCCCCCAGCCCCATTTCCCGGGCGGGACCGTTCAAAACCCGCCCGGCGCCGCCGCTGCCCGGATTCCGCCGCCGCTCGCCGGGGCCGGGGCCGAGGATGCTCGGGCTGCCGGCGGCGGCGGGGGGGCGGCGGGAGCGCGGCGGGGGCTGAGCGGCGGCGGCGGCGAGCCCCGGCCTGCCCGGGACACTTGGCGGGGAGGCACAACGGGAGCGGCGGCAGCGAGGAGGAGGAGGACGAAGAGGCCGCCTTCAGCCTCGGCCCCGCCATGCCGGGCCCCACCGGGGAGCGTGGCCCGGCGGCAGCGGCTCCCCGCGGGCTGTGAGCGGCCCGGGGCCGGCCCAAGGGGAGCCCCGGGAGGAGCTGTGAGGGCGCTCCGGGCGGAGGGGGGGCCCCGAGCGGCATGGGCAGCCCCGTCCCCGCCGCCGCCGCCGTTCGCACCGGGATTTAACCGGGGCTTGGATGCTCTCACCTCCCGCTTCCACTTCGGGAGGGCATGTGCGCGGGGGAAGCGGGCCGCCCCCAGCCGAGCCCCCCCGCGCCCTGACTCCGCCGTGAGGGGCTCGGCCGCCAGCCCCGTCCCGCCGCCGGCCCCGGAGGACGGGGAGCGCCCGCCCCGGCCCCCCCTGGCCGGTGGGTACCGGGCGGGGGGCGCCGGGCACCGGCAACTTGTGCTCAGCGTCCGGCGGCACCGACCGGGGGGAGCCCCCCCGCTACCCGACGAGATTTGGGTTTAAACTTTGGGTTTTGGGGAGCCCCGAAGATGCCTTTCCACCCGGTGACGGCGGCGTTGATGTACCGGGGGATCTACACCGTCCCCAACATCCTCGCCGAGCAGCGCCCCGTGGAGATCCCCGAGGATGAGCTGGAGGGTGAGCGGGCTCGGGGGGCTGCCCGGGGGTCGGGGGGATGAGGGGGGCGCCCCGTGGGATCGCGGGATGAGGGGGTTTGGGGCAGCGGGCAGTCTCCATCCCGCGGGATGCGGCGGTGCGGGAGTCGGGGTGCGCGTTCCCCGGCGCCGTGGGGAGGCTGAGGGCGAGCGGGATGCGGATGGATGGAGAAGGAGGAGGAGGAGGAGGGGAAGGGGGAAAGCCGGAGCGGGGAGGCGTGCGGGGGTCCCGGGCCCCCGGTTGTGGCGATATGACACAGCAGGGACCGGCGGCAGCGGCGGGGGGCCGCGCTCCCCTCCGCGCCGCGGCGGGGTCACCCCCTCCCCGCTGTCATAATATGACAGAGGCTGGTGGCGCGGGGGACCCGGGGGCGGCTGTCACCCGTGCCACCCCCCGGGTCGCGGCGGCTCCACGCAGCGCCGGTGTCACCGCACTCCGGCCGGGAGCAGCGGCCGGCGGGGGCTCTGCCCGCCCGGGCCATGAGAGGGGCCGAGCTCAGCTCGCTGCCTCCACAATGGCTTTTTCCACCCCAAAAGTTTGCCGGGGCGGCGGGACGGGCACTGGCGGTGCTGAGCTCTGGGGTGTCCCTGGGGAGCCCGGGGGAAAGGGGCGCAGCACCCCCTGCTCCAGGGGGGAAACTGAGGCACGGGGGGTGACCCCACCATGTCCCCGCTCTGCCTGGGGAGAACACCCTCGGCCCAGCACCAAACGTGGAGCCCTCGGCGTCCCCGTGGGGAAACTGAGGCAGGGAGCCACGGGGCTAGGGGTTAGGAGAACCCCAGAATCCATTTGGGAGCCCCGAGCAGGCGCTCACAGCAGCGTGCAAGGGCTCTGTGTGTGTGTTTGTGTGTGTGCATGTGAGTGTGAGTGTGTGTGTGTGTGCAGCTCTGCAGGGTGTGCATGTGCGCTGACGTGCCCGTCACAGCCTCACTGCAGGGGCTGTGTGTGTGTGTGTGTGTGTGTACACAGGCATGGCACACCCCCTGCCTGCACACCGTGCTGGGGTGTGCTCACACGTCTGTGTGCTCACACATCTGGATGCTCACACATCTGTATGCACACGCACGGCCTCGCTGCAGGGTGGCTCAGTGTGTGTGGCTGTGCCAGTGCCACTGTGTGTGTGCCAGTGCCAGTGTCACTGTGTGTGTGCCAGTGCCAGTGTCACTGTGTGTGTGGCTGTGCCAGTCTCCATGGCTGTGCCAGGCTCCGTGGCTGGGCCCGTGTCTGTGCCACTGCAGCACGTGTGTGTGCCCATGCACAGCCTGGCTGCAGGAGGTGTTTGTGTGAGTGTGCACGGCGGCACAGCAGGACGGGCTGGTGCACACAGCCCTGCTGCAGAGGGGTTTGTGTGCCTGTGCACGGGCACAGCATCACTGCAACGTGCTGGGAGTGTGTGCGTGTGTGTGTGTGTGTGTGTGCAAGCACCAGCACAGCCTTGCTGCAATGGAGCTGTGTCTGTGTGCACACACACGTGCAGCTGTGCACGGTGTTGGTGTGTTGGTGTGTCTGTGTGCACAAGTGCAGCATTGCTGTGCTGTGGTTGTGCGGGTCCATGCGTGTGCACACGCAAGTGCAGCACCACTGCAAGGGGGTGTGGGTGTGCAGGGATGTCACTGCAGGGGTTGTGTGTGTGTGTGTCTGTGTGTGTGTACATGCACAAACACAGCTGTGCTGGTAGTTGGTGTGTGCACACACATGTACAGCACCACTGCATTGTGGTTGTGCATGTCCGTGTGTGCACAAGTGCAGCACCACTGCAAGGAAGTGTGTGTGTACATGCACCAGTACCTCAGTGCAAGGTGTTTGTGTGTTTGTGCACATGCACAGGTACAGCATCACTGTGAGGTGTTGGGGTGTGCACACACAGGCACAGCATCACTGTGAGGTGTTGGGGTGTGCATGCACAGGTACAGCATCACTGTGAGGTGTTGGGGTGTGCTGTATCCATGCACACGCACGTCCGTGAACAGGGGCTGTGAGTGTGTGCATGTTTGTGTGTGTGTGTGTGTGTGTGTGCGCACAAGCAGAGTGCACCCGTGTGTGTGTGCCCAAGCACATCGCCCCAAGGTGCTGGGCTGTGTTTGCACACTCACACGCATCACTGCAGTGAGTGTGTTCACACAGGTACAGTGTCACTGTGATGTGGTTCTGGCTGTGTCTCTGTGTGTGCACGCACAGTGTCAGTGCAAGAGGTATGTGTGTATTTGTGTGTGTGTGTTTGTGTGCATTTGTGTGTGTTTGTGTTTGTGTATTTGTGTGTGCATTCGTGTATGTGTGTTTGTGTATGTGTGTGGGTTTCTCTGTGTGTTTGTGTGCGTTTGTGTGTGTATTTGTATTTGTGTGTGTGGGTTTGTGTTTGTATGTGTATGTGGGTTTGTGTGTGCATTTGTATGTGTGTTTGTGTGTGTTTTTGCACACCTGGGCACATCCCTGCAAGGTGTTGGTGTGTGACACCAGTACAGCATCACCATAAGGAACGTGTCTGTGTGCCTGTGTGTTTGTGTGTTCATGTGTGTGTTTGTGTGCGTGTCTGTGTGTGTGTGCACAGCTCCAGTGTCACTGCCAGAGGTGTCCCAGCCTCGCTGCAGTGGGGTGTGTGTGAGTCCTGCAGCTGTGTCTGTGTGTCCGTGTGTGTCTGTGTGTCTGTGTGTCCATGTGTGTCTGTGTGCGTATCCATGCATCTCTCTGTGTGTATGTGTGTGTGTCCATATGTGCGTCTGTCTGCGTGTCTGTCAGTGTGTCTGTCTGCCAGTGTGTCTATGTGCGTGGCAATGTCTGTGTGTGCATGTCTATCTATGCGTCTGCCCACGTGTCTGTGTGTCTGTCTGTCCATGCGTCTGTCTGTCCGTGTGTCTGTCTGTCTGTGCTCACCCCCCTCCGTGGTGTCACACCCCGTGTCCCTGGGCTGCTGTCCCAGCTCACCCAGTCCCCGCTGTTGTGTCCCCCCCTCCTCAGCACCCACCTGTGGCAGTGGGGACCGATGGCACTGCTGGGAGCCCCAGGGGGACCCCACAAGGTGCCACCTCCTCCTGTCCCCGTGGCTTGGGGACACGGGTGACATCCTGATACGGCTTCACACTGGGGCAGGGGGTGCTCAGTGGGGAGCCAGGACCCCACCCTGGCCACTGCCAGGACCTGTCCTTGCCTGTCCCCAAACACCCTGAGCCATCTGATGAGGAGCCACCGTGGAGTTTCTGGGATGAGCACCCTTGAAGGATGAATTCTGGGGGTGCCTGGGTGTAGTGAGGCCCCCAGGAGCACAGGGAGGATCTCCCTGCCCAGGCAGGGACACTGGGCATGGAGAAGCTCAGACTGACAGGCCAAAATCCCACAGAACTCCCCCAAAACACCCTGAAGACGTCACTGATGTGGCACCATCCAGGCAGGGATGTTCCCGAGCACTTGGGGTCACTACTGTCACCCAATATGGGGTTTTTTCCCCAAACCCGAAGTTCACAGCCCATTTCTCCTGCTTGGATCCTCCAGCATGAGTCCCCCTGGCAGCCACATGGAGCAGGAAGAGGCACCAATGCCCTGGCCTGGCTTCCCAGTGTCCCCCAGCACAAATTCCCTGGTCCTTTTCCACCAGCCTGGTTCCAGCCTCGCACATCAGGTGGCATCAAAAAGCCAGAAACTGCCCTGAAAAGGAGCAGAGTCTTGAGGGCAGTAGGAGGTGGGGTGGAGTCAAGGGACTCAGGCCGCGCCTCAGTTTCCCTGAAGCATCTCCCTGCCACCCTGAGGGATCTTCCCCCACATCCCAGGGGTTCCTTTCGAGCCAGAAACCCCAAACCCCCACTTCCATCTCCTCTGCACCAGACAGGGCTGAGCACTGCAGCAATTTCATCAAGATTTGGGATTTTTTTGGGTGAAGTGCGGCACAGCTCCAGCACCCACCCCTGGACCCCAGGATGGGGGCACAGACCCTCCCTAAAACCATGGGATGGGGCACAATCCCACCCTGAGACCCCGGGATGGGGACAGTCCCCATGGATCCTCAGGGATGCTCCCGGGTGGATGCTGCAGCCCCGTGGGGATGCCCTGTGGCAGTGCCCACCTGGTGGCACCCCAGGCTCAGGCACACCCAGGGATACGGGTTTAGGGCAGAATTCCATGGTTTTAGGGCAGAACTCTGTGGTTTTACGTCAGAACTCCGTGGTTTTAGGTCAGAACTCCGTGGGTTTAGGGCAGAATGCCGCGGTTTTAGGGCAGGGTGGGTGCTCGGGGTGACTGGAATTGGGGCGAATATTTGGGGTCTGTGGGGCAGGTGGGACCCTGCTGGGGGCTCCACGCTGGTCGGGGGGGTGGGTGGGACCCCCACAGGGGTTCTGTGGGGCTGGAGGGGGAAGCTCAGCCCGAGCCATCGCTGCTCCCCCCACAGAGATCCGCGAAGCCTTCAAGGTGTTCGACCGCGATGGCAACGGGTTCATCTCCAAGCAGGAGCTGGGCACGGCCATGCGCTCCCTGGGGTACATGCCCAACGAGGTGGAGCTGGAGGTCATCATCCAGCGCCTCGACATGGACGGTAGGACCCCCACTAACCTGGGTGGGGATCCCCAGATGGGTGAAACACAAAATTCTCCCGTATTTCCAACCCACATGCTGGATATGACACGGGATGTGGGATGGGACTCTCCGAGGCTCTGCCTCCCGCTGGAGCCTCCCCCTCATCCATCATCATCATCATCATCACCATCATCATCATCATCATCACCATCATTGCCACTGCAGCTTTGTTTGGGATGATTTAAGGATCCTGGATGTTTGTGGGATCACCAAACCAGCTGGATCCCGCACCCAGGGGTGGCTCCTGCACCCCGGGTCGTGTCCTCAGCACCCATCACCCTCCAGCACTCACTGCCACCATGACCCTGTCCCCACCCCTCCCTCGCCCACAGGGACCTGAAAGAGCTCCTTAATTTATTGCTTTTCCTTTTTCCCCCCATTTAAAAGCCTTTCCGGCAGCACTGCCGAGGCGCCGCTCCCCTCATTACTCATCGTTAGTGCTGCCCTGACAGCCCCACGCCAGCGTCCCCCCCGCCAGGGGACACGGCCAGAACGGCCACCAGGCACCCCCAGGGTCACAGCCACCACCAGGTCCCTGCTGGAATTGGGGTCCCTGCTGGAATTGGGGTCCAACTGTTGTTCAGAGTCCTGGACAGCGTTGGGCTTCCCCAACCAGTACTGGGGGCTCCAGGTGACACGGGGTGTCCCCAGGTCTCATTGGAAGGGGGTCCAAATGGCATTGGGGGTCCTCAGATGTTGCTTGGGGGTCCCTACCTGGCAGTGAGAGTCCCAGCCAGCACTGGGGATCCCAGCCAGTGTTGCCATCCTGGCTGGTATTGGGGACACCAAACTTTGATGGAGGTCCCCACCCAGTGTTGGAGCCCCTGGTTGGTTTTGGGCATCCCCAGCCAACATTTGTGGTCCCCAGTTAGCCCTGGGAGGTCACCAGATGGAATTGAGGTCCCAGCTGGAACTGGGGTCCAGCTCATGTTCATGTCCTGGATGATGTTTGGTTTCCCCAGGCAGCACTGGGGTTCCAGATCACATTTTGGGGGGACTAGGTGGTATTAGGGTGTCTCCAGTGGGCCCTGGGGTCCTGGCTGGCACTGGGGATCCCATCCAATGCTGGGCATCCTGGCCTAAGTTGGAGGTTCCCTAAATTTTCTCGAGGTTCCCAGCTGATCTTGAGGTCCCCATCTCGTTTAGGGGATCTGTGACCACCCATGAGGCCCCTTCTGGGAGGGGGAGTGTCCCATGTGCCCCATGGCCAGGCAGGGGGTGACAGCCAGCCCTGTGTCCCGCAGGTGACGGGCAGGTGGACTTTGAGGAGTTTGTGACATTGCTGGGGCCCAAGCTCTCCACCTCGGGCATCCCAGAGAAGTTCCACGGCACCGACTTCGACACCGTCTTCTGGAAGGTAGGGACACCTCCATGGCATGGTAGGGACACCCCTGACCCCTAGGGAAGGCAGGGGACACCCCTGGTCCCCATGGGAAGGCAGGGACACCCATGGTCCCCACAGGATGGTAGGGACACCCCTGTCCCCATGGGAATGCAAGGACACCCCTGTCCCCACTGGAAGCCAGGGACATCCCTGTCCCCCACGGGATGGTAGGGACACCCCTGGCCTCATGGGAATGCAGGGACATCAGTGTCCCCCACAGGAAGGCAGGGACACCCCTGTCCCCTCCTGAAGCATCGCCCCAGAACCTGCACCAGGGAAGGCTCAGGGTCAGGGCCAAGGTTGGGGTTGGGATCAGGGATAGGATGAGGGTCAAGGCTGGAATTGGGGATGGGCTGAGGGTGAAAGTCAGACTCTGGGTCAAGGACGAGGTTAGGGTTGGTTTAAGAGTCAGGATTAGGTTTAAGGTTAGGGTTAGGGTCAAGCTCAGGCTCCAGTTTAAGGGTTAGTATAATCCTTGGGGTCAGGGTCAAGGTCAGCAATGCTTTAAGGGTCGGGGTTAGGGCCAGGTTTAGGATCAGGGTTAGGTTGGAGTCACGGCTAGGATGAGGGTTGGGATCAGGTTTAATGGTGGGACGAGGGTCAGGAACAGGTTCAGGGTCAGAATTGAGGTCAAGGTCAGGAACAGGACTGGGGTCAGGATGAGGATGAGGTTCAGGATCAGTGTCAGGGTGCACCCCCTGAGCCCCTGTCACGACCAGGCCACATTTGTTGCCAGCACCCTCTGTGTGCCCCTGGCTCTGCTGGGCATCACCAGGACACCAGGCCTTTCCCAGACAATTCCAGGGTTACCCAAACCACCACACCCAGAGGTTCTGAGGGACCCTGGAGCCCCCTGTGCTGCCGGCCCTGGGGTCACCCCAACCCCTGTCCCCGCAGTGTGACATGCAGAAGCTGACGGTGGACGAGCTGAAGCGGCTGCTGTACGACACCTTCTGCGAGCACCTGTCCATGAAGGACATCGAGAACATCATCATGACGGAGGAGGAGAGCCACATGGGCACGGCCGAGGAGTGCCCCGTCGACGTGGAGAGTGAGTGCAATGCCAAACCCCCCACGGGGATGCCAAACCACGGGGTTACCCTGAGTACAGGAGAGTGTATTTGGGATGGGGTAACGCGCTGTTTGTCCCACCCCCAGCCTGCTCCAGCCAGCAGATCCGCCAGACCTGCGTGCGGAAGAGCCTCATCTGCGCCTTCGCCATCGCCTTCATCATCAGCGTGATGCTCATCGCCGCCAACCAGGTGCTGCGCAGCGGGATGAAGTAACGGGGCAGCCCCGCCGCAGCGACAGCGACAGCGAGGAGGAGACACCTATAAATATCTATAAATATCTCTATGTCCATCCATCTGTGGCCCAGAGACGTGACCCCCCCCCCGGGGCGGGGGCGGCCGAGGGGACAGAGCCCGCCGGGGCCCCGCCGTGCCGGGGCAGAGCACGGAGACTTCGGCACCGACACCGACACACCGACCCCCCCTCGCCAGACACAATCCGACCCGTGAGTGCATGTGACGTGCATGGAGCCCCGTGAGCCCCCTCCCGCGGCGGATCCCGTCGGATTCTCCGCTCTAGCGTTAGAGCTCGTATTTAGGATAAACCAAATCATCCCCTAAGCAATACACGCGCCTGAGATGGTTCCTAGAGCCGGGAGCGTTTGCATGGACTTGGCTGCCAAGGGCTGGATTCCACCCCCCCAGAGCCCCTCCCTGTCCCCGTGCCTCGGCGCGGGGACATTCCTGACCTCCTGCTTGATGCACTTTGAGCCGACCCCTCCTTGGGAAGAGCCGGAGCGACCCCGAGGCCGGGGAGCCCCGCACGCCCCGGAACCCCCAGCCTGTATGTAGCACCCACCTGGGCACGGACTGGTTCGGATTTGGGGCCGTTTCTCATTCTTTGGAGTTTTTGGGGTTTTTGGGGTGGTGGTTTTGGTTTTTTTGTTTCTGTTTTTGGTTGGGTTTTTTTTTTTGTTCTTCCTGGTTGGTTGTTTCCGATCTGAAATAAAACTGGGATTTCTGAAGCGCTCTGGGCTCTGGGGGCTCCTGGAGATGCTGGGGTGGAGGGTGATGGGGTGGGGCCCTGGGAGCACCCGTGGGTGCTGCTGAGTCCTCCTGGCACGGGAGGTGGGCACTGGTTTGGGGGGCTGTGACCCCCCAGACTCTGGGGGCTGGAGCATCCCTAAACTTTGGGGCAGTGGGACCTTGCTCCTTCCCAGCAGCTCCCACACTCCCCACCCCACTCCAGCTGTGGATCCTGCTACAGCTCCTGCCTCTTCCCATGGATCCCAGAGCTTTTATCCCCTCTCCATGTCTCATGCCCTGATATTTTATGTTCGGTTTGATGAATGTTTCACTCTCCTTTGCCTCGACGGGGAGGATGCTCAGCCCAAGCCCCTTCCCAGAAGTGCTTTCACCTGGATTAACAGTAATTCCAGCAGGAACCAGGATGTGTCTGGGGCGCTCAGAGAGGCTCCACATGGTCACAACTCCTGGGCCAAGCTGGGGATCCTGCCCCAAGGCTGGTGGCAGGGAGCACCCTGTTATTCCTGATTTACACCTCTGGGGCTGGCCCCGGTGTGAGCCCGCAGGCTGAGGGACATTGGGAATCTCACAGCCACACGTCTGTGTGCACTGCGGGAGCCCATTCCCACCTAATGGATCGCCCTCCCCGAGCCCCCAGCGATGCGTTTTTAATGGCAAAGAGATGAAAGGGATAAATAAAAACAGGGCAAGTGCTTGGGGCTGGGAGGGAATCGGGCAAAGCTGCTGCTCCCCTACAATGGGGCCCTTCCCACTGGGAACGGGGCTGGAGGAGCCCATCCCAGGACTCTGGGGCTGGGACATCCCCACCTTCACCTCCCCGGTGCTCCCATGGGGAAAACTCATTTCCCTGCAGCAGCATGGCAATTCCCACCCTGCACCACGGGGGGGGACACCCCATTTTTGGGATGCCAGGAGGAACTGGTGGCGCTCTATTGATTTGGGGTTCGGGTGGGGCCTCTTTTTGATCTTCTCTAATTTATCAAACAAATTGAAGTGAACGTCCAAATGAGAAATGGAAATGGGAAGTGCTCCACGGCAATGAAATCACTCCGGCTGCCTCGCAAAGTGCGGGAGGCTCCGCATCAGTAATGAAATTTCATCCATCTCCTGCAGAAAGTTTGGATTTTTTATGGACTGGCATTTCCAAAGGAGCCACGTGGCCTCAGAGACATGTGTGTGTATATATATATATATTTATTTTTAACCAGGTCTATTATAGACACTGTGAATAAACATAAAAGAAGAAGAAGAAAAAAAAAAGAGGACAATTTAATTTGCCAGAAAATACAACAATGTAAAAGAAAAAATTAGATAAAAGGAATAATGCCATCCCCCAAGCTCAGCGTTTCAAAGCTGCTCAATTAATTTTAATGGGAATCGGCGGAACGGATTTCTTGGGGCAGGTTTGGAATGGCAGCTCTCGATCGCGGAGCAGGGGGATCCTGGAGCAGGCAGGATCCCGGAGCAGGGGGATCCCGGAGCAGGCAGGATCCCGGAGCAGGAGGGATGCCGGAGCAGGGGGATCCCAGAGCAGGCAGGATCCCGGAGCAGGAGGGATGCCGGAGCAGGGGGATCCCGGAGCAGGCAGGATCCCGGAGCAGGAGGGATGCCGGAGCAGGGGGATCCCGGAGCAGGCAGGATCCCGGAGCAGGAGGGATGCCGGAGCAGGGGGATCCCGGAGCAGGGGGATCCCGGAGCAGGAGGGATGCCGGAGCAGTCAGGATCCTGGAGCAGGGGGATCCCGGAGCAGGCAGGATCCCGGGATCCCGGGGCAGGCAGGATCCCGGAGCGGGGTCCCAGCCTCGTCCCTGCTCTGCCGCAGAGGCGATCACGGATCACTGCGGCTGCTGCAACAGAGATGCTCCGGGATAATTCAATTAAGGGACCGCCAGGAAAGGCAAAAACAAAGGGAATGTGCCGGGAAGTGGGGGCTGTCGCGGGCGAGGGGAGGTGGGAGGGAGCAGGACCCTGCATGGGTACCGTGGGCATGGGGACAACGGAGCAAAAGTGGCGGCAACCCCAGCGGGGGTTGCAGGGCAGCGATTCCATAGCTCTGGGAAGTGTTTGGGATAGGAAGGGAAGAAGTTGGTAATGGTTGTTTCTCTCTCTTGTGCTGCAAGAAGTGTGGGATGGGCTCAGCTCTATCCCTGTCTTGGTCCCATTCCCATCCCTGTCCTTGTCCCAATCTCTGTCTCCATCCCCAACACCATCCTCAGTCACACTCCCATCCTTCTTTACATTCCTTTTTCTGTCCCTTTCCCCTCTCCCCATTCCCACTTCTGTCCCATCCTCATCCCATCTCTATCCCCATCCCTGTCCCATCCTCCTCCCTGACTGCTTCCCATCCCTGTCCCATCTGTCCCATCCCCATTCCCTCGCTTATTCCCATCCCTGCCCCTCTCCCCTCCCCTAGTCCCCATCCTTGACCCCATCTCTACCCCATTCCAATCCTTCTGTCCTGTCCTCACCCCAGCCCACATTCCCACTCCAGTTGCCCTCTCCCAGCAAGAGCTGCCAGAGGACACGGGCAGAGCCCAGCGGGGCCGCGCTTGGCAGGGGCCCAGCAGCCGCTCATTTCCCTAAAAGCTTCCGATAAATTACTCCAGCTCTTGCTCCTGCAAAGGCACTTTGGCTCGGGCTTCACTATTGGGCAGCAGCTCCTCACCCCCACCCTGGGGACAGTGAGTCCATCCCTGCAGCATCCCTTGGGATTGGGTTCCAGCCATCCCTGTGGGAAGGAGCCACAGCCCTGTCCTGCTTTGGGGTCCTCCTCCCACAGCCTTTCCATGGATGTGCCCACAGGGGCTGTGTCCCACCCCGGTGATCCATGGCATTGTCACCTCCTGTCACTGCTGTAACACACACACCCTGCAATTCCCAGCCTCCTCCCCTCTGGGAGTTAGGAGCTCATGAATCCACAGCATCCTGTGGGTGATGCTGGGCTCAGACTGTCGGCCACACATCCTGCAGTTTTTGTGGGAAAACCCCAACTTTAATGAATCCCCCTGCCAGCCCCTCTCACCTCCCCCTGGACAGGCTGGAGCTCTGCAGGGAATGCTCCTGCTCTTGCCTTTCAGCCTTTATTGGGAATTCCTGCTTCCAGAGCAGCTCACCACCTTGGGAGCAAGGAAAGGCTGTGGCTGCTGTGTTTTACACTGGAATTTTCATTTACAGTTGGGTTCCAGAGCTTGCCCTCAGAGAACTCTATCTAATTTAAGCTGGATCTGGGGAGCCCTGAAGTTTGGAAGTGCTGGGTAAAACAAGCCCTCCTGGATCAGCTGGAAAACCCACCAGGACTGGAGCACACGGAGCAGGGACAGGCCTGGGGGCTGATCAAAGCACAGCTCCCATCAACACAAGGATCAGGGAAGGATTTGGATGTTGACTGGGGAAAAAATCCATGGAAGGGACTGGAGTGGGAGTTCCTTGATCTGCTGGTGCTGGTGGCCTTGGAAGGTGCCCAGGAGTGTGTCCTGGCTGCCACCAGCAGAGCAGCCACTGTCCCCCCCAGTCAGTGGAGCCCCTCAGCATTCCCCAGGACTCTTCCTCTGTGCCAGGCTGGGGCACAGGGATGCACATCCAAGCTTGGAGAGAGCAGGCCCAGCTCCCACTCTGGAGCATCCCACAGTCCCTGGGGAGTCCCCACTTCCCATTTCCTTGGGGGCAGGGTTCCCTTGCTCCAGGGACTCCCACCCATTCCCAAAGAGGAGCCAGCTGGGTGCCCTTATTAATCCACCTGTCCTGCAGGTGGAAGTGAGGACAGGACACAGGGCTGATCCTGCATCCTCTGAGCCCAATCCCTGTGCTCCTGCTCTCCAGCAAGCCCAGAGCTCCTGCCTGCAAGGATAAAAACATTCTCTAGTTGGACCTAAACTCATCCAGGATACAGCCAAGGCTGTTTCCAGGCTGCTGTCACATCCAGTCCCTGCTCCTGTCAGAGCCACGGGGCTGACGCTCCTGTGACAATTTGCCATCACATCCCTGCCCTGCTGGAGCGATCCAGGCAGGATTTGGCCACAGGCAGCTGGCTCCTGCCCGTGTTCTTCATGAATCTGGACCCACCACCTCCCTGCCCAGCCAAACCTGGAATGCTCTGGCAGTGGGCACAGCCCTTCTGGACAAACCTGCTGCCAGAGCTGCCTCCTGGGATGCTGCTGGACAGGATCCCCCCTTGCCCTGGAGCTGCAGCACCCTGCTCCCTTCCTGAGACAGCCAAGGGCCTCCCTCACCCCACGCTTTACCAGCAAGGAGAGATGAATCAAACTCACTGAGGAGAAACCTTGGGGTATTTCCCC